TCGAGCAGCATCCCCTCACACACCCTCAGTGGCAGCGAGGAAGAGGAGGCAAGGAGTCCCCTTTCCTCCATCCCTGTGGACGCTGGTTGTGGTACGGATGATCTCCTGGTTGGCAAGTAACTAAGACTGCTACAAAGCAAAGGAGAGCAGTTTTACAGGTGCTGTTTCTGGATGCATGATGTTGTCTGAGGGGTCACAGGACATACCGAGAACGTGAATGCTGCAAAGACAGACTTGAAAAGGACAGCTTAGGGACCTCCAAATTTAGACAGCTGTACAAAAACAACCAGAGGGAAAAGGCATCCAAAGATGTGCGTCACTCAAGTAAACAACCTGGTAATTAAACAGCAGTCATGAAGTCCCCAGGCAAACAGCACTGGCTGGGAGGGTCCTGGCCACCTCCAAGGGCTCAGCAGTGTTTTCAGTCACTCTTCGTTAACATCGCCTCTCCCTGCCCGGGAAGGGGCACGAAGCCACACTGCCCCAGACCCTGCTCCTTGCACGGGCGCTGAGTCGCAGTGGGCTCACTGCCCCTGCTCAAAAGCTGAATTCCCTGCACTTCTGCTACAGGGGAAGAGCTCTTGGGAAAAATTCAGTTTTTATCCAGACCATAAAACCTGTCAGTAGCTATTACAATCGAGCATTTAAGTTGTCTTTTTCCTAACATTTCCTTGGGTCTTTGGGTAGCAGTGGGGTAACAGAGCACCTAAGCATGGTGCTCGAATAAAGGCATTAAGCCCTAACTAAAGGATGGCATTGAAACAAGGCAACAGGGCTCACTGCGTTAGGGCTGGTTACAGCACCAACCCTGCAGCAGGGCAATGCTTTAATTTTAGCTTTCACATGCTCTTTGAAAGGAAATCACAGTGTGGACATAAGGCTTCATCCTCATCACTTTCTTAATACAAGCTGAGGACAGGGAAAAAAATAAAAATAAAAATCCATCCCCCTTCCAATCAAAGCCATCTGCTCAGAAACATGCTCTACTCTTTCCCTAACACACGTTTCTCCTTTCCTATGGGAACAGCAGCAGGTGAGGGGGAAGGCTGTCACAGAAAAAGCCCTCCATCACGTGAGGATGGAGCACATCACATTCACGCCTGTGTGGTTAGACCAACCCCGGCCCTATTTCTGATGCACATGGGGCACCATCTCACAGGGCAGCAATTGCACTCGTGCCTCCCGTGCAAGGAGTCCTCCCCTGACTCACCCAGTGTTGATATTCTCAAGCAAGCCAAACAAACCAGCTCGGCGAGATCATTTCAGCACAATCACATGAATATCTAGATATTCGAGAGTGGATGTATGACATAGTAGTGACAAAGCCATGGGTCCTGCAGGTGAGGAACAGCCTTGTCTTCCTTTTGCAGGACACGTACACCACTCCTACTTTCACACACCGCATCTCGTTGTCCAAAACCACCCTGTGACCAGAGACGTTTCTGTCCTGCTTCTGCACTTGGAGAAGGATAAGAACAGACCCCAAGCAGGCAATTTAAGCACTGAAGTGACAAGTGATCTGTGTAGTTGACTTTTAGCTGTGAGTAAGGCACGTGGTTTTGCTCTGAGTCAGTCTTAACACCTCTGCTCACAGCACAGGGACCAGAGCAGCACTCCCCTGTACCTCAGGAGAAGGACCGAGTGCTGAGAGGAGAAGGCATTTGGGGGAAAGGCAGGATTTTCAGTTCCTGAGTGAGGTCTTCCAGGTGTTAAGAGTAGCAACTCTGAGAATGGCACCCTGCCTCCACCACTGCAGATCTGGGGAGTGGGGTGGGTGAAAGCTGGGACGGAGGACAACACTGGAAGCTCAAAAGAAAGAACCATAATGTTCTCCCAAAAGTCCACATTTTCAACAAAATACTAGTTATATGGTTTAATTTAGGGCCTTTTGCAGCTGGCCAAAAGAAGGCAACTCAGTCACAGGCCCTCCTGGGGTGGGAGGTGACAATATCCAGCCATAGGACATAGACAAACTCCCTGCTCTGCACTGGGAGTGCTTGGTCTGATGCTCCTGGAAACCGATACACTCGGTAACTTCAGCGTGAACCTACTAAGAAACACACAGGTGATAACCAGACCTCAAATTCCTCCTCAAAACACCATTTTCATGTCACCAGAAATTCTGTAACCAGTGCCCTTGCAGCTCAGGTGCAGCAATGGTCAGGGCCCCCACTCGCCTCTTACTGCAAAGGCCAACGGCAACTAGGGAGTAACAACCACCTCTACTTATACAGACCAGATTCATTTCTAACAGTGATTTAAATAAAGGACATTGCTAAGGTCTTGCTATACACAATAGGAACTGCAGCGTCTAATTTAAGACATGCCTGATTTAGTATGAGGTGCCAAGCTATAAGGCTGTGTTGAGAAGTGATGCTTCTGCTCAGGGATCCTGAACAAGGACAAACAGAAGCCACTGTGATGTTTTAAGAAAGACTCGACTCATACCACATCCAAGGCTTTCCGATACTGGACGCAAGCAAGCAGAGGCTGCCCGCTGCTTCCAGCTGATATAAAGGGATGATAAAAAAAGGGCTTTCTCATGCCTTCATTGCCCACTGTTCCAACACCCAGACGCCTACGGAGAAGAGAGGAATCCCTCAAACCCTGCTCTAGAGGCCAGGTGTCCAGCAGAAGAGCAGCAGCAAAACTACAGAGCTTTATTTACAGAGCATCATTTTAAAGGGTATGCCTTCACAGAGCAGAAAGGACAATCCGTTTCACACTGCATTTCAAAAACCTGTGTCAAAACAGCTGTAATTGGCCAACAGCATGAGGGCAGCAGACCCCAACAAGACAGAGAGCACAGGCACCACGGCTTTACTCCTCCCCACTGGAGGTTAAGGGAACTGAGCTTGACATGAGATGTCCCAATCACAAAATCAACCTAAAGCATACTCCATTTCACACTGATAATGGCAAGTTCTGTTTTCTGGACAGATCAAATCCAGTATTTGTTTCAAAATGGGACGTGGGGTCTGTGAGAGGAGGAAGACACACTTACAAGTAAAAGATTTACAAACAGAACCCCTACATAACATTCTAGCGTTGCAGTTTTGGGACAGCATCAGGCATGTGTCAAAAAGGAAGCCAGGCACTAGCTGTTCACAAAAATCTAAGTGCCTTCACATCAGGGGATGGTCTCCGTCAGGGCCGAGTGAAAACACGCTGGCAGAGAAGTACGCTCTGTCACTATGCACATCCCAACTGCGCCAGAGATGGAGGGAGTTTGATTGCCAAAGCTGTCAGGAATATCACCAGTATCAAATTCACTCTGGTTTCAGAGCTACTCCATCTGATTATCCAAAAGGCGCACAGCTTTGCAGAAGCAACAGAAGCAGAAACTATCAGAGCATATATTACTGAAAAAAACAGTAGATGACCTAATTCTCTAATTAAGAATGGGTTCAATTGCCCACAGAAGACAAAGGAAGGTTATGAAAATATTAGTTCACTGAGATTTCTTTTTCCAGAAGATAGATGGTGGTATTTTGTTGTTATAAAACAGTGGGTACGGAGACAAAGCTTTTATAGCGACAGCTGAAGTCACTGTTCTTTGGGTTTTATGTATGTATCAAAGGACCCACCGCACACTCACTCTGCAATTGTACTTATTACTCCTGCATTGCCTGCTTCAAAACAGCAGTCAAAACCATTTCTATCAGAAAACAATTCCAACTTTAACACTTTACTTAAAACAACAACTCCGTTACACTCTTCATCCCTTTCTGCTTAGTAAACACTAACCCCAAGGAGCAGCTCTACAGCTCCCAGATGAGGCAGGTTCTTCAGAGAGACAAACTCTCTTCAGGGAAGCTTAAAAGCACCAAGCATCTCCTCGAAGGCAAATCGCACCAGCTCATCCAGACACCCAAGGAGATGAATGATACCACAACCTTCTAGTTCCAGAATCTGCTGCTCTCATGTCACAAGCAGCCTGACTTCTGAGTCACCACCTCCCCGTAAATCTCTGCGGAGCAGGTGTGTGCTTGCATCAGCTCCTGTGAAGCTGGTAGCAGCTCCGAGGACCGAGCATGCAGTCAGGAGCCAAGCCATGCCTCTCCTTTACACTCTAAATTCAGCTAGCTTCAATGCAGAGCACTGAGAAGCACCCAATTCCCCCAGATTCCTGCTTATAAGGCAAAACTAGGCGCCACCTGCTCCAGCCCTGGAGTCAGCTGTGGTGATGATGCAGGGCCTGAACTGAATCGCTTCTGTCGAGCCCTTAGGGATGTTATTTTGCATGGAGGCCCAGGGGGGGGAAGGATGACAGATTGAAAACCACCCCAGGACCTGCACCCTGCCAGGTTGTGTTATGCTTTAACTGCAGCGGGGGGACGCAGGAAATAGCACAGCGCCACTCCTTGGCTCTTAATTACGGTCTTGTGACACTGTAGTTAATGGTCTGTCATGGGCTCCATTAGAAACCTTGATGTTTGCAGGAGGCGGACCAAGCTGCGCTAGCAGTAACCAAGTGAGAGCTCTGGCCTGGAAATAAAGCTCCTGTTCTTGTCTTACAGACACTGCTTCCCCTGGCTGCAGCCCGGTCCTGGTGTTAATGCTGATGGTGGTCAGGGGGAATCAGCTCGGCGGTGGGGTGCTGGGGGGAAAGCTCCACTCGGGAAGGGTCCAGCCGTGCCGAGGGCTCTGTGCATCCAGGGATTGATTACATCAGACACCGACCCCTCTGACGCCTCTCTGGCCAAATTCGCCTGCAGATCTTCAGGATTTCTAAGGAATGACTGCGGCCTTTCTGCTGCCAGCCACGCAACCCCTGATAAACCACGCTACGCTTCCAGTCCATTAAAAAAAAAAACAAAAAAAACAAAAAAACAACAAAACAACCCCCCCCCCCAAAAAAAAAAAAAAAACCACTAAAGAAAAAAATCAAACCAAGCCCTCCCTCCCCAAGGCCGGTGTCCCCTCCCCGGGAGCGCTGACCCCTCGCACGGGTCCCGGCGCTGCCCGTTACCGGGCTGCCCTGCCCCAGCCGTCCCTACCGTTGCTGTAGGCGTAGGGGGACTCGGAGGCCCCGTCCTGCAGGCTCTCCAGGATCTCTCCCTTCCCCACGTCGCTGTCCCCCACCAGCAGGAACTTGAGGAGGTAATCGTAGCTCTTCACCGGGCTGCCCTGGGTTCCCATCCTCCCTCTCATCGGCGAGGGGGCCCGATCCGCATCCTCCGCCGCCCGCCGGCCTGTGGGGGGGGCTCCGGCCGCGCTCCCGCGGCCCCGCCGGGCCTCTTCCCCCCGCCGCAGCTCACAGCCGGCCCGCTGCCTCGCCTCGCATCTTCCGCCGAGGGACGCGCTGGGGACCTGCGGCGGGAGGAGGAGGAGGAGGAGGAGGAGGAGGAGGAGGAGGAGGAGGAGGAGGAGGAGGAGGAGGAGGAGGAGGAGGAGGAGGCGGTGGGCAGCGGCCCGGCCCCGCCGGCTCCTCAGCGCCCCCCGCCGCTGACAAAGCCCCCGCGCCCGCCCGCCCTCACAATGCGCCGCCGCCCCGCCAGGCCCCGCGGCCCGAACCCGCCCCGCCGGGCCCCAGCGCCGGGCTGCCCGCCCTCACCCGCCCACCTCCCCGCCGGAGCGCCCGGGACCGGGCCGGGCCGCGCAGCCGCCGCCACCGCCTCCGCCTGCCGCCCGCGCCGAGGGAGAGGCGGCGGCGAGACCCGCCCCGCGCCGGGCTGCCCGCCGCTCCCATAGGCTCAGAGACGCGCCCGTCAAATCCCACCCCGCCCCGGCGCCCCCCCTTCCAGGCTCTCGAGGGGCGGGGCCGGCGGGGGGAAGGGCGGAGCGGCTGCAGACTACAGGTCCCGGCGTGCCTTGCGCGGGGGCGGCCGCGGCAGTGCGGGGCGCGCCGTAGCAGAGCATGATGGGACAGCGAGTCCGAAGTGGGTGGGGGGTGTGTCATGGCGGGGCCCGGCCGGCGCAATGGGGGGCACTCAGGTATGAGGGGGGCACCCAGGGGGGTGGGCATGCAGGTGGGGGGGGTCATCCATTTATGGGGGTCATCCAGCTGTGGGGCGGGCAGACAGGGACATGGGGAGAGGGGGGGGCACTCAGGTATTGGGGGGCATCCGGGTTGGGGGGGGGGGAACCCAGGTGTGGGTGATGGGGAGGGTGGGAGGCGCATGCGCCCCACTGTCGGCTCTGGGGTCAGCCAGCACCCAGGGAGGGCTGGGGCGGGAGAGCTGACATCCAGCATGTCCCCAGGGGATGGTGACAGCCCCAGGCCGTGGGAACCAGGCTGAGCTTTTACCCACGAAGGGCTGCGGCACCAGTAAGCACCCCCACCGCCCCAGCGGCACCCCGCTGGGACTGGCCAGCCTCCAGCGGAAACCTCTGCGAGGTCCCGGCTCCATGGGCCCGATTCTGCAGGATCCCCGTGGGCGAGGGTCCCCTCCCTGCTGGCATCACTGACAAATCCTCTCTGCTCCTGTCCCAGTTTTAATGCCCTCCCGTCTGCCTTGTGCTGGGAGGGCACCAGCATTTATCTCATCCTTCCCTGCTGCCTGCTATGAAGACACCCCTGCACAGCCCCGGTGCCCCAGGTCCCTCTGCTCCTCCTGCCTTTTCCCCCCATCCCTTTCCATCTCCTCCATTTCTATGAGCCTGGGAGCCCAATCCTGAGTGAGAACCCCCCCCCCCCAGCTTTTGTGTAACTGGTGCTGCAGCTCGTCAGCACAGGATCAGGGCTCTTGCCTTGCCCGTGGCTCTGGGCTCAGCGGGGCTGATGGCAGCCCTCCCTTGGGCTGGTGAGTCAGCGCCTCTGCTCCGCTTTCCTCCAGCCCCCGCTTCTCCTCCTCCTCCTGCTCTGCTCCCGGCCCCGTGCTCCTCAAGTTCCAGCAGCAGCAAGACGTCTCACTTTTATAAAATAATAATTGCTGCCCAAACATGCCTTTTACTGCATGGCTCATTCACCTTCTCCCTTGGGGATTGCTCTGCTGTCAAGCAAAGGGCCAGGACAGCTGTGGCCACAGCCACGTGGATAACCCCCATCACCGACGACTTTGCCAAAGACGCCCCAAATGTGGGGCTGGCAAAGGGGAATCTGTAAAATGGGCTGAAGTGGGGTGGGCAAAGACCAGGCAAGCATCAGCTGGGAAAGCCCGAGCAGCTCCACCATGCTGGCTGGGCAGCCAAGTGGATTTTCCACCCTCGGAGGTGACCGACTGGCAGGATGCAGCACCAGGGACTGGACAGTGATGAATGCATCAGTCCTCAGCCAGCTGAGACACAAGCTCTGGGCACCAAGATGCCTCATCCGAGCGCCCCATGGGGTGGCAGGACCCTGCTGCCCTGTGGCTCTGGGGACAAGGGACCTTCCTGTGCTCCAGCGAGCTGCACCCAGCACCTCTGCCCCTCAGGTGCTGTGCCACATGCCAGAGGGCGATGCTCTGAACCTGCTCAGCCTGGGGAGGGCAGATGGTAGAGCTCTTCCCCCCGTGTTCACAGGGTGAGGGGAGATGGCAGAGCTTTGGGGTGAGGGGCTGCCCCCTGCAGTGGTCCCAACCTGGCTCCCCCCCGTCTCCTGTGGCCTGAGGGCTTGAGCACCCTTGCTGCCTTGGAGCCACGTGGTAATAAAAACCTCTGGGGGTTTTGGTTTGATGAGGGGTTTGTATCCCCACGGGGTGAGGAGCGTAGCCTCATGCTTAGTGCTGCTCAGTTTGGTTTGTCTGCATGGCAGGGGCCAAACGCAGCCCCCTCCATTCCCCCACCTCTGTCCCCCAAACAGCCCAGCTCATCCAGCTTCTGCAAAAGCAAAATGAAATAGCGGATGTCCTGCTGATTTTATCTGGAGCTGCTGCTGCCCCCAGCTGCTGCCAATGGCATTCCCCAGGGAGCAGAGGCTCCGAGGGTAAAGCCAGTGGAGAAACTCCCACCCCAGGGCCCAGCCCTGGATGGTGAAGCAGGGGAAGTGGAGACAGGGGGATCTGTGTGTGCCCAGATTCCCCAGGAGGAGAGAAAAGCCATTCCTATCATTTCTGTCCACCAGTCCCTTGGATCTAAAGCGGCAGGGAATGGGCTGGAGGAGGATGATGGGCGGGAATCTCTTTGATTTTGTTTCTTTTTCCTTAGCCTCTGGTTCTCAGTGCTGCCACTCCTCCAGGGCCAACCCCAGAGCCCTGGTTTATGGCTCATTCAAGTGATTTCTCACCTCCTTGGTGGGATGGTGGAAACCAAAGTAGAGCCCAGACTGATGGGAACCATCACGAGAGAGGAGCAGCGCAGAGCAGGCAGTGGGGTTGTTTCAGGAGCTGGCGGCAGGACGCTGCAGGAAGCAGCAGCCTCAGTGTGAGGCAGATGGGTGACTCTGGCAGAGGATTGCTGTGGCCTGGGGACATCGTCACGGCCATGCATCCAGCTGGCTGTGCTTGACACTCGTCCGCTTCACCGCTGGGCATGGCACATGGCAGCCATGAGGCTCTGCCCGCCCAGGGAAGCTGCTCCTTCAGACAACCACCAGCAACCAGTGGTGCTCTGGGCCTCCTTGGGCAATGGCACGCTGCAGAAGGCAGGCGGGCTGGGTGCTGCTAGCTGGGCTAGAGGCAGCTGGATGCAAACTGCACAGGGAGAGGAAGAACAAAGGAAAAAGGAAGAGAAGAGGATGAGGATGAATGCAAGGGTGTGACTGCTCTGATGTGATGAGGAGTAGCGGCAAGGCACCCATCATTCCCAGGCACAGCTTGTGCTTCTGCTCAGACTGAACAAGGGCTGCAGAGGCTTGTCCCCCTCCGCCCTGCCCCTCACGCTGAACAGCAACACATCGCATGGGTAGGCTCACAGAAAACCAAAGAACCCCTCAGTGAATCATAGGGAAAAAAAGAGCTGGAGGAGCATCACCTTAACTGTCTTGCAGGCCCAAGGCAGGATCCACTGGATCAGGGCTCCTTCTTGCAAGGGTTTCACGATTTGGCCTTAGCAGAACACTCTCAGCTGGATGAGGGATGAAATACCTTCTGTGGGTGGAGAGCAGAGATTGAGTAACTACCCGGCCAGGCCTCAGGACGGGGGCGAACAGCCCGCTCAGCCAAGTCGAGCCCCCAGCAGCCGCCCCGCCCAGTCCCCGTGGTGGTGGCAGCAGGTCACACAGGTGCTCAGCCACGAGTTCAAGAGGGAAGAGCTCGACTTTCCTCCCAAAATCTTTACCTAGTGAAATCAAAATCCATTTAAGTTCTGATTAAAAGGTTTAATTCACCGAAAAAATCCACACCTAGCAGCAGAACAAAGATCTTCATCCCTAAACTCAAGCACAAGCACCTGCAACCGGTACACACGGAGCCTCTTTGGTCTCAGCTGTGCATGGACCTGCCGACACAAGCTCTGCTACACTGCCATTGCTCTGCCAGCACTTCTGTCTGCAGAAACGGGACCGTGAGGAGCATGAAGCAAGTCTGTTTCCTGAGCCAGGGGTTGTTCCCTGGACTGGCAAGCTGGACTGCTGCATTTTAAATCAGGGATGGGATGGGAAGGAAGTCACTTTCACATGGTGTTAACGGTGACATTTTAAAACAAACAGTGTGTTGCTGTCACATGAGCACTTTGCTCCTGCTTAACACCTGGTAGTTTATGTGAATGCAAAGAGAAAATGTACCAGTGCTTTTCAACCAGCACATCAAAGTTCCTCATTAAACTTCACATGCAAACACACACACACACACACTTCTAACTAAACTGTAAATGTTTCAGTACTCTTTTACAATACTTTATTTAAAACCAGAAAGCATTGTAAGTAGGAGGATTGATTACAACAGTTGTGAAGTTCTCACAAATTTCCCCAATGCCAGACACTTAAATAACACTACGGATGGGAGATGTGCGCGCAGCCCCTCCCTGCCCCTGGTGAGCTCTGGTGCTTCCCTGGGTAAGCGACACCCACAGCACTTCCACCAGCTCCTGAACCCCATCACTTGCCTGGAAATGAAAGGTTTACCTTCTGTCGCCTGCAGCACTCGTAATCACGTGTATTCTCCTCATATTTAGCTTGCTGAGACAATACATGGGCAGTTTGGGCATTCTTGGCTTGAGGTCCAGGCCCAGACGTGGATAAGGATTGGAGGTGAGGCTGCCAGCTGAGAGCCGAAGGGGAGAGACTCTTGCAAGCAGCAAGCTGTTCCACTCCCACTGCAAAATGGTGAGCCAGATGCAAAGGTGAGGGGCACTCTTCTCACCCAGGAAGGCAGATTAGCTGCCCACATAAGGTTTGGATTGCTCTTACGTGTTTATCCCGCACAGTGGGATACAACCCAAAAGCTCCTGAACTACCTGGGGCCTCATGTCATGTGGATGGATGACCTGAGATGCAGCCACATCCCATCTGTATTCACAGCGCTCTGCCAGCGATTGCCCACGCAGAGCCTCAGAGCATCACACAAAGGCCCCTGATCCAGGCAGACGTGCGTGCCGCCCGCTTAGAGCTTTCTGCTCCTCATCCCCCAGTTTCCTGCTCAACGCAGTGAGTTTGGGTGGAGAGCAAGAACTCTCTCTGCTACCAGGTCCAGAAAAGCCAGCAAAGAGCAGCAGGCAACCTTCTCTAACCACAGAGGGCTTAGATACCCCCTGAAAGGCAAAGGGACTGCTGAAGAGTCCCTGAATAGGGCTGTTCAGGGACAGAGACAGCATGCAACTGCAAACCTTCAAAGTCACTGAAGATATTTGAGTTACGGTGTCTCCTAGCTCAGCGTAACACAATGACAGGATGAAAGGCAATGGGCATGAATTGAAACACATAAAATTCTCTCTGAAGAGCAGGGAACACTCTTTTACTGCAAGGGTGACCAAGCACTGGCACAGGTTGTCCAGGGAGGTGGCAGAGTCTCCATCCTTGGAGATAATCAAAAGCCATCTGGACAGAGTCCTGGGCAACCAGCTTTGGGTGGCCCAGCTTGAGCTGTGGGGTTGGACCAGATGATCTTGAGAGGCCCCTTCCAACCTCCACCACTCTGTGATTCTGTGATGGTGTAATCAGCAGGTCTAAGCACTAACAGTAAATCCCCAAGGACTTGGGTTCAGCAAGAAGATGGGTGTTGTGGCAGCAGGATCAGACAGCACAGGGCAGAAGGAAAGGAACTCATTATCTGCATGATGACAAATCAGGAGATTTTCCTGCCTTAGACTCCTGAGACTGTAAGTCAACATATGGATAATACATACGTGCAACGCTCTTTCTGTGGGCCTGATGGTACATTCACATGTGCCAGCAGAACAAGGCACAGTCCAGCTGCAGTATCAGGGAAAACTCCCAAAACCATAACCAGGGCCTTCAGTGCACTGTAATTACTGAGATTTTCTTTCAGCATTGTCACATGCTATTCTGGTTAGGAAAGGAAAGTATTTCTCAAAGGCAGAATTTCTACCTAGGATGGAGTTCTGCATGCAGTGAATCATGTTTTCCTTCAGAAAAACCATGCCTATGTAAAGAGGCACATCGAGTGTTGTGCCAGCACTGGCAACCATAAGGTGGAAAAAATAATAATAAGGAAATGCAGTATTAAAAAAAGTCTTCAAGATTACAGTCTTTGAATGATGTTTGGCAAAGACTGCTTGTTGCCTGCTATAAGGGGTGTGTGGTAGGAATCAGAGAAGATTTGAAATCTTTAACTACTTCTCATCCAAGGACTGATACGGATAATATGGATCTGAGGACAAGTTAGAGCCATAACCTTAGCAGCAGTCTCTTCCCTGAGGAAATGTCAGCGCTGGGCCAGTCTGTGCTGCTGTGGAGGATGATGCTGATCCCAAATTCTAATTAGAGAGATGACACAAGGTCAAATGTTCCTGAGCAGGATGTCTGCTAAGTTGTTGAAATGCCTCTGCGCAGAATCGGAAAAGGGTGGGGGAAGACTATTTCACAGCAGTGACTGGAAAGGAAGAGGAGAAACATGGCAAATATCCAGCAGAAGAAACTCAGAGGCTCAGATAGCATCAGGGGCAAGAGGAACGCCATGTATGAGAAACAGTAAGACAGCTCAGGCACCGGTTCTGTGTGACACAGAAGAGCTGCACCCACAACGGGCTGTCATTTCTCAGCTGGGCTACTCGAGGTCCTCTGTGTCACAGAAGATTCAGGCTCTTGGGCTGGAAGAGGAGCTTTTTCTCAGTTTGATCAGCCCCGGAGTCAGTATCAGCCTTTAGTAAACAGACCCAACACTGAAACTTCTAATATGTTTGGCAGATTCCCAATAGGAAGGTCACATTTGCTGGTCTTCATGTCTCTGTGGCTTTCAGGTCACTTGATCCCAAAGGACAGCCACGATTAGGACCATCGTGAGCTGTCTGGTCCCATGGAAAGATTTTAAAAGCCAGGATATTAGGAACATTATTTTCACAAGACCAAAAATAATAAAGTTTCTCACAGCAGTCAGTAAACCAAACTATGCAGGCGTGGGAGGAAGCAGGGGAAATATCATTTAGTAGGTCCAGTGGAAACATGAGAGGGAGGTAAAGTGTAAATCTGCTGCACTGAGTGCCACGTAAGGATAGGTCTCCATGACTGACTTAAGTTGAGGTGAGAAACATTTTTCAGACCATTCATCCACTAAATGGATCACAACCCGGAGTTATTCACACCTGGAGTGGGGAGAAATACTTGGGCTTCGATATTGCAAGAGAAGATAATCCTGTATTTGTACATGATTTTTAAGCACTGATCATCAAAGAAGAACAAAGGTCTCTTCAGTTTCTGCAGCCAGTGATGTCCCGGCCAGAGCATGCGGTGGCAGAAGGTGGTGGAGGGCTTTTGCCATGCTGGCTTTCTTCAGTGATGTGCCCTTCTTCCCTGGATCAAGGTAACAGGACGTCCTCTTTGGGTAGCAGTGCTCATATAATACTGCCTCCCTTCACGATGTCCTTAAGAAAACTGTAAGACCTTGGCAGCTCCTGTGTTTGTCTGCTGAGGAATGTCTGGACCAAGCACCTGCCTACAGAGCTTCATTTTCTCCGGATCAAGCTACGACTGAAGAGGCAGTGGCTGCACCACGAGAGGCTTTGAGCAGCTACAGACAAACCAAATGTATCCGTCCAGGAACATCTTAAAGCAGCAGGTCTATAACCCCTTCTCCTCTGTGACAGCTTCAAGTACATGGATGAGTCATGGGGCTGGGGTAGGAAACTCTCATCCTGCCAGTGGAAGTGCTGACTGAAGGCTACTTAAAGCCCAGGGCACCTTGCCGCGACTGCTTGCCTTGCCTCCACCTACTCCCAATGGAATACACAGGCAGCCTTCCAGAGAAGGGCTCAGCACTGCAGCCATGACAAATCTTCCTCTTCCTCCTCCATCCTTGGTTCCTTGGAAAGAGGAGAAGGGGGCAGGATTCAGCACACCTCTCACCTGCCAGTTAATGCAGTCACTTCGGGCGTGCAAAGCAGCAGCAGGGGACAGTGATACTACATCATTGTTTCATCTGGGGCGAGAGGAGCTACCAGACCTGGAGAAAGCATTCTTTTGGGTAACAATTGTATGTAAATGTCTACACAACAACCAAGTACCCAGTGGGACATCACACTCTTGTGCACAGAGGCACTATCCCCAAGAGAAGGAATAGAAGACGCACATCAAAATGAGCACACAATCAGACTGGGACACAGAAAAGCCAAGCACTGCTGCATGATGGAGGTAGGGTCCAAAGCAGGAAAACTCTCCTAAGAGAAAGGTGTCTATAGTTTCAGGGAAAGAAGTGGCTTTAAATGACTCATGTCTGAGATAACTTTAAAAGCTCCTTGACTATTAGCAAGTGCAAAAGATGAGGCACTACATGGCAAGGCTCTCACCCAGGCCCTGAGGAACAGGGGGACATACTGACCCTGTAAGGGAGCGTGGCACACGCTTCCCTGAGCTGGTTGAGCTGTGCAACAAGCCGGGCTGCTGCAGTCCTCTGGCAGACAAACCAGCCAGAGCTGGACTCAGAAAAGCTGTGTTTGCCTTACATTGCGACTAAGCGAAGAAGCCCTGAGCCTTGGCAGAGCCCAGAGCTCTAAGCTACCATGGCTTACTGCCACGTCAACCTGAGCAGTCTGGGGTCTGAGGCTGCGTGCTCTGCACTTTAGTTCTGGTGTCTGCTCAGGGCTCAGCTCTCCCCAGAACACTACTTGCTTTTGAAAAACATGTAGATGAGACCATATAGGCACAAGTGTACAGCAGTTTGTTTTTCTGGGCCTCCAGCCCCACTGTTTCTATGCTTAACACCTCCTGGTGCTGTGGGGGTGAATCTAAGCCAACCCCAAAAGAAAAGCATAAATATTCTATGTACCCAGACAACCCCGCTGTACAGTTCTCAGTGTATGACTCTACAAGCTGATCTTCCATCTTGGTTTTGATCAGCTGGCTTGAAGGCTGAAGCATAAAAGATCCAAAATACCCTTTGGCAGAATGTACCTCAGCATTGTGGCTTTGAACAACCCGAAGGGCTATTTTACTATGGCCCCGTGAGCTCACATGGAAGGATATACACATCATCAGGCCATTCAGGAGGTACTTCCTCGATTACATGAAATGCTGGTTTCATGAGGCACTAATGGGTTTAACCTTTTGCTTCAAAAATAATCATTAGCATATCACACAAACACAGTGTTGGGGAAGAGGAAAGTTGAAAAATAATATTTAAAAATACTTGCCTTTAAAAATTCAGCCCCTCCCATGTTACCAAAATCTAATTAAAGGTATCTAGCAGTCGCTGGCTCTGAGATGCCTTTGATCCAAAAGCATTAGGATTCAATGTGTTTTTCTGACCAAGTGTCTCAAGTTCTTTTGCTGTCTTTAGTCCTGCTTCTCTCCTTTGTGTTTCCAAGGGTATATTAGCTCTCCAAGGAACAGCTTCTTGCAGAGAGATGTCCAGGAATCCTTAGGGTAACAGCTGTAGGTCGGCAGCCTGTATGTCTGTACCACGCTGCCATATGATAAAGGGTTGATCTGTGAGAAGAAGAAAAGAGGGTTAACAGCAACGAAAATGTGTTGTAGTAAGAAACACAGGCAGCTGAGGAGGGCAAGTGTGATTTTGCATAGCACTGGCCTCTCTTAAAACATCAATACTGCTACTCACAAAGCATTAAGAACCCCTCTCTGGCTAGCTAAAGCCGTTTAGTCTTTTACAACATCCCGAAACATTAACAAATCAAGCTTGGCAAGGGGTTTTATTAGAATCATTTTCAAGCAGAGAAGCAGACGCAAGCACCAGCAGGATTTGAGTGATGCTCATTACACAAGGGTGTGGAACTGTTGCCTTGTTGCGTTAGGAGGTTGCAGAGGCTGGAGGATGCCTCCCACTGCAGACAGCAATACTCCACTGTGAGTGCGCTGCGACTCTTAGGAACTCCTCTGTAATGTGCCAGTTATATGGCATATCTTTTATAGACCAACTGCTTTAATGTGCTAAGCCCTCAGCCCATAGCTATGCTTTAAGGGAAACCTGGTATCACCTGATATCCACCCAGTGGAATCGAGTCCTAGCTGAACAGGATGCATACCACACAATGCCACGCAGGGCTGCTCATTACCATTTTTAATTAAGTCTCCTTGGCTGAGTTCATATTTTTAAATCTGATTTCAATCACCATCCCAAGAATGACCACGTCTGGAGTCTCTGCCTACAAAACCTCATGGCCTCTGATTATGGTCACAAAGTTGCTGTGTTGACATTTTGAAAGATAGGAGAGACAGGAAGACACGTTAGCTGGAAAAAGGGGTGACAGAAGCACATCTGATTATGGTCACAAAGTTGCTGTGTTGACATTTTGGAAGATGGGAGAGACAGACAGACATGTGAGCTGGAAAAGTGGTGACAGAAGCACATTTGACCTTGGGAAAGCTCATTCCAGTGAAGTCTTTCAGGGTAGACAGGTGAAGTCCAGAGGACTGATCCAGTCTGGCCAAAATCTGATGCATGAAAAGGATTGCACAGCAATAGATTGTCTCCAAAAGAGTAAGCAGATTACACAGAAAAGATGGGTCTCAGAAAATGGACCATGTGAGATGCCAGGGTGAGGAGACTCACAGAGCTAGAGGAAGCTCGGACAGTGGGGAGCAATGGAAGGACATCCTCCTCTAGTGAAAGGGTCCAGCTATGCTGGAACCAGCCAAGCAGCTGTGTGAAAGGAGACCATAATTCACAGTGGAAAATCCAGCCACAAAAAGGAAAGAGAGACAGCAAAACCCACGCAGGCAGTCACTGTTATGTCAAAAGCTGAATATTCCTTCTGTCCACTGAAGAACAACCAGTTCTCTGGGCGTTTGCCTGTGCCACCAGTTTGCTTCAGCTGTCTGGTGCTCATGGGGAGGGGAAGGATGAACTCAGAGTGCCTACAAAAATGGAGCTCTGGGAAAGGGTGATTAAGCAAAGGGTTAATTGGAATTAATCCTGGAGACCTTTGTCAAATTAGTTTCAAAGCACAACACTGCCAAAGCAGAAGGAGAAAATGCCTGCACACAGAGAAGCATCCCTATGAAGTTTAAGAAAAAGGCCAGGGCAGCACCTCGCACAGGCTGAGGGAAGCCAAAGAACAGGCAGGCCCAGTGTGGTCTGGCTGTGGAACATGGACTCATTAGCAGATATTAAATGGGTCCCAAACAGATTCACAGGAAGCTAGTTCTGAATGCAATCCAAATGAACATTTGTACCCGAAACGGAAGAGCGGAGCTCATACCACCGGTGGTATGTCTATCCCAAACTCATGCAGCCCATATTTCAAACACATTCTACTTCCTAAAGGCCAAGGATCAACCACGGCATTTATGGGACATTCTGCATGACTGTAACCAACTAAGGTTGCATTGTGGTCATAGACAGTTAGCTAAAAAAAAAATAATAACTAAAAAAAAAAGACCAAGGAAACCTGCCCCAAAACAAGCAACAGTGAAACCTGAGTAACTCATTCTGCCTATTTCCTCAGCTGTAGGCAAACCAGTATGCTTTAAGTGAAAACATGCTGGGGGAGGATAGAAACTGCTGCTATACCAGGGAGATACAGTGTGTGTTCCTTTGACTATTAGCTACGTGGGCTGGAAGGTTTGGACACAACATTTCTCGTTGAAAATCATCCCGAGGCAGAGCGGTGATACCAAGGGGTAACACTTCCCTACTGAGAAATAACAAGAGATGGTTTTACACCCAGTGCAACATGTAAGTCTGCCTCTCCTATTATAAATGGAAACAAACAAGCAAAACAAAAGCAACCGTTTATGAGGGAAGTAGCAATATGAGTTCCTTTTACGCAATTTCTGTAGTCCTAAGCTATAGTATATACTTATATAATATACATCCTTTGTTTCATAATGGAGATGTTCCCTTTTCCCTTCCTCTTTTGCTTAACCCTTTTCAAAGCAATTGCTGTGAAAGATGACACTTATAGCAGAAGGTATGCAGGTGAATCAAACTCATCGTGTCTTCTCACTGGGCTATCAGTTCAGTTGAGCCACACTGTCAGAAATATTTCTTCTTGTGCACCAAAATAAATTATTTTAAACACTAATGAAAATACTGAACTACGTAAGGCTTCCGGGAGAAAATTAAGTAGCATTTGGCATGGAAATATCATCCCCCAACCTCCACCTCCTTGTGTCTGGACTTTGCATTCTAGTGACACTATCTTAAAAATAAAAAATAATCAGTTGGCCGAACCACCAGCTCAATGTGATGCTCAAACCCAGCATTATTGATTTCTAATCCATTAGCAGTGTCCCGAAGGACAGCTGTGAATGTATCAGCCACCTATAGCTTAAATTATTTTGGGCATAGTTACACGCATAGAGCCTTGCTTCCATCAAGCATGGCTCCAGAGGGCTACCATATGGGGAGGGGACAAAGCCACTGTGAAATTTCTAGAAAGGAACATCATCACATACCATAAATAAGAATTTTAGCATGTCACTTAAAAACAGGCTTTTTAGAGTGTCCTCTCAAAAGACCTATGAGAAAGTGGTATGTTCAGCAGGATTTCTGACACAAGCCCATTTTTCATTTCCACCAGCACAGAGGAAGCAAAAAAGAGCCTTTACTGACTCTCTGCTCATTATTGTTTGAACAGAAGGCCATAGGAGACATCCACTGAAGCACTTTCACCTCTTGCTATGATGACTTATGCTATATTCTAGATAGCAAAAGGATCTTTCTGCAGTGGTCCAAGGAAAATTCATCATATTCATATGGCTCACTGCCTCTGCTCTCTAAGTCATGATCTTTTTCCTCTGGAGAAGCTTATCCACCTCATCTCACAAACACAGATGCCAAATTCTCTGCTCAGAAGCCCCCGTGCCTTGTCTTTGGTGTCTGATTTCCTTTTTATGGAGTCTTCTGGCCTTGGAGAACGACAGATTTTGGTTCTTACACTACTACTCTGCTGAAAGACAGGAACTGGGAAGACAGCATGCTTAGGAACTGCTACTTTTGCTCTAGAAGACATCTGCTGAAGGGATTCCCTTTTGAATTGCTGCTAGCGGGTGTGTTGGTTCCATGCTAATCTGACCTCTGCTGAAATAGGGCTGGACTGGTGATGGAAAAAGCAAAAGAACTGGGAACCGCAGTTAATTCCTTCCCATACGCTCCCCCAGCGTCCAAGTGTTCTTTATAAATTCTATACACTACTTGCAGACTCTCCTCATAGGATGCAAAGAGCAAGAAAAGAGACCCTGGGATATGGCACTACTCCCTCAAAGTCAGGAAATGGAAATTTCACAATCACTCCTGAAAGTGTAATGAGAACTTCACTGCTATCATCACATCATTTCTTTTCAGAAAAACATTTCCTTTAGTATCTCTGATGACAGAGCATGGAAATATGAGGGTACAAAAGCACAGGTAAGCTTTTCCTACACACCTTGCCAGAGCAACTCAGGAGAATAACAGGAGGCCCTTCCCTCTCTTGTCTCACCCACACCCTCATCCTGCTGGCATCATGGAGCAGCCAAAGCTTTTCAACACATCTGGAGGGCAAGACCTTTTACTGGTCCTTCATTCTGGATGGCTTGGCTGCCGCCTTTTGCTTCTCCCAGTGTTCAGTAATTAAGGTGAAGCTGCACAGAGCCAGGAAGCGAGGTCATAATGACATGAAGTCTTAATTCCAGAAGTAACAGAGCTCCACGTTTATCAAATCTTTCACATTTCATTTCACACCATACAGGACATTGCATTTATTCTAAACTGAGAACTGAAGCAGGGTATTAAAAAGAAGAGAAAGCAACAGCCAGCCATCGAAATGTGAAATGTATTTCCCTTGCTTCAGCATTTCACTGCTGAGATTTTTGAAGTAAGGGCCTTTCAGTGGACCAGTTCCAGAACTGCTACAGAAGAGAGAAGGGCCTTGGGGTCAGTCTGAGGGGAAGCCTGCAGCAGAAAGTATCATGGAGAGCACTAGTAGCTTGCCTGCATAAGGAGCCGAAGAGGTTTTCCATCCTGCTGCTCAAGGACTCTGAACTTCACACCAGCTGAAAAGAAACAAAACAAGGAAACCAAATTCATGCTTGGAGAAAAGACCATGTCATTTACTGCTCAGCTCTGCTGGCTGAGCACTGATTTTCTAGAAACAGAGTCTTCAACCTTTCTTGACTTGTGAACCCTTACACATTTTCAACAGGAAGCACAGATTCTCTCTATAGTGGTTTTAAGCATAATGACAAACAATGTGTTTCTCTTAGCTCCATTAAAAGCAGCCCTCTGACTTCCAGCTTGAAAATGCAGTCCTAAAGCAAGCACAAAGCCTCAAAATCAGTCAAACCTGATGATGACAAAGGGACTGGAAAGATCTTCCTCTTTTCCCAAACCTCCATCAGAACGGGAACTCCATGTTAACAGCAGGCAGAGAACTCACCTTTAATTTGTGCTCATGTGGGTACAGCACATGTGCAAAACTCTTCTTTCAGACTAAGGGAGGAAAGTGGCTGGCCTAGAGGCATTAAAAATATTTCAGAGTAATCACTGCCTATTAATTCCAACATTCATATGTTTTTAACATGCTACCAAACCCCATCAAACCTGCCACTTTTATATCTCCTCTTGGATTTGCTACGTTTCCAATACTGTAAAGATAAATAGGAAAGATTTCGGATTGCAGTGGTGACATAGTGCACATGGACATTTAATGCAATGTTTCAAACAAAGGTAATAACTGGGACTAGAGGGGCAATTTTCTTTGAAAGATCTTGAATCTCTTCACAGAAATAAAATGAATCCATCTTCTGTAAACCTGTCCTAGCCAAGTGTGCCCTTGTTATTCCTTTCAGCAGGTCAGAAGATGAGGCAAGAGTAATGCAGTCATCTGCTACAGATCAAACAGTGACTCAGGAGTACAAATAGAAATAAAACTTCATCTGTGTAAGCCTCATTGCTATAGCATCTATGTGACTTGCACATTTATAAAACGAAGTCTTTTCTCTTTTTCCTCAAGCTTTGAATTAATTAAAATGATACAGTTTACTCCTTGGACAGAATGTTCTTGTCTAGCAGAGAGCTCTGGTTTAAACTCTCTTCCCAAATCCTAAGACCTTTTCTGTACAGGACAGGAAGAATGTAGCTGCCTTTTGCTGGCTTATATTGAAACATGGGCTTCCCCATTGGCTTCAAAAAGAAGTTTGAGTACCCTGGGTCTCAATAAGCAAATGTGCTGGATGACAAAAACTGTTCAACATGATTCACTGAGTTTTGGCTAAGGGGAAGTGTCTAAGCCATTCCAGGAACTACCTTTCAGGCAGGCAATTTGTCAGAGAGACAGAAACGAGTGGGCACTGAAATTGCAGATATGTGGTTGAGCGCTCTGAAGCCTTATCATAGGAACAGTCCCGCAGACCAGAAAACGCTGCTTCTGTAGGTCATGGCTACACGCTTCCCTTCTACAGCTGCAAGCCAACAATCTCTTAATTAGATCCATTGTTCAAGAGTTTTAAAATTCTAAGAAAATACATACACAAAAAGGCTACACATTTATTTTAGAATGACCTACAGATTACCACAATGCTCAGGAGTCTGAGCAATTCATTTCACAGAAAAAGCAGGAAGGCTCGGTCTACTGCAGCTCAGTCTAGCAGAGAACCCTGAACTATTCTGTGATTGCCAGCCAACTCCAGAGCGCCAGGTTCTGCTTTTTCCACATGCAGGCATTATCGATGGCACAAGAGAGGTCAGGACATGAACCCATTTGCTTTGTTTCACATGACAGCACACTAAAGCAAGCTCACTTCTTGTTTGTATTTCAGTAATCATGGAGACACCACCCTGACAGGTCCTTCAGAACCATGACAAAACTTGCCCCAAAGTTTCTGATGTGAACATTGGGAAAAGGGGAAAGAAAAGCACAGAGAAAATGAACTGACCTGTTCATGATCAAACAATATATTGGAAACGTGTGTGTGGGTAAAATTTGAGACCCCTGAACCTCACTGCTACACCTTACTTCACACTATAAATCAACACCACAGTGTGCCCATCCAACCAAGGTGGCATCCCTCAAGCTGACACTGGGCAGACAGAACTCTTGCACAGAGGGTCTCAGCTTTGATGTATGCACAAAAGGCTTTTTAAAGTCCAAGGTATTTCACTTCAGCTGTGTGGAAAGAAAAAATGGATTTTGTTTCTGGTGTGTGGATGGCTCGTTCACCTATCATGGCCCAGGGTTCATCAATGTCACATTCTGTCAATTCAGAAACCGAGTCAAAGAACTTGGGAGGGTACACGCCATGACTGAACTGAGTTGAACTTAAGCACTGCACTAACCCCTTGCTGACAGGAAAAGCTATACACTCATGTTGGTAGAACTATCTTGATGGTGCCTGTAAAATCAGCTGCCATAACATATGCCAGAGGATGTTTTATCCGAGTTCTGAGACTGAAAATGGAGGCAAAACCTAAGCAGTGAGGACATCAGGTGATGTGTACTCTCTAAAGTCCTTTGAATTTGATTCAACTGCTCCATCTGTTACCACTGCAATGACACATTTTTGCACTGGGGCAGGAACACAGGCTGCAGAAATTCTCAGAGATGCCTCTTCATCTAGCGGGCAGCATCGCACTGCAGTGTTGCCTTTCTTAAAACATTTAAGAGAAGCAAACAAACAGCCAACAAAGAATGTACGTCAGGTGACAAACTCAACTGAGAAGACAATCCTCTGCCCAGTTGGAGGCTTATTACCCTGCAGTGGGTAAGCAGGCTGAACAAAACTGAGGAGCAGTAATCTAAAACTGAAGGGAATATATGGCCTTACATCTTTCAGTGGTAACAAAATTTTCTTCTGCCCTACAACCTGCTGTTTACTGGGTCAATTTTCTTCAGCAGCAGCCCCTGTTCTCCACAGACAGCCCTGAAGGGTTAAGTAGTTTCTGCCAAGAAATTCATAGGAACCTGCTGAAGGCACACATGGAACAGAGTTGGTAACATGGCTCAGCTATACCTTCCCAAAATCGAACCTGGCACTGCTCCAACAGACAAAGCTGTTATCAGTTGCCTCAAGCTTCCTTTGCATTTGATGACTAGCCTTGGTTTAGTAATGATCAAGCTCTTTGTTATATTTTAAATTCCTGCTGCATGCTCTTCAAATGGATGGGAGATAATAATTTAGATGTGCTTGATTTTAACTAAGATTAACCATAGCTGCTGACAGTTAAACCCATCCTGAAATGACCCCTTACTCTGGTGCCAACCATGGTTGATGGTTACCAGAAGTGGAAAAACAATGAATAGTTTCAAATGGTGACAGATCAGTCTCAAAGAAAGAATGATCACCTGAAATCTACCCAGAGCTCTGAAATTAATCCAAACACCTCAGCTCAAGGCTTCAGTTAGTCAAGTCAGCATAGAACCGAAGCAGTTCCATTGATTCACAGCCACTGTAGAACCAGCCCTCTGAAACAGCAGATTTTCCAAGTATTTTTGTAATTTGGCTTGTTTCAGAGTCCAAACCCCCAAGGTTAACAGCTTGTTTAACTCTCACAAGTTCTACCTGATCTGGTACTCTAGAACTGGAATCAAAAGATGAACTCATTTATCAGGTGCTTGTTTGGATGTTACTTTTAGTTGCCACAGGCTCTGTAAAGGTGCTCCTGATTCTGCTTCAGCATCAAATTTCTTTCCACTGATATCCTCATCCTGCTCCTTGAAGGAATTGGTTAAGAGTATGGACAACTGCACGCCTTGAGCCTTTGGTTCTTTCCTGCCCCCCCTGCTCTATTCAGAAGCTACCCATCTCATCAAAATTAAATGCATAATGCAAGATCCTTGAACTTCTGCATGTGCAGTGCTGAAGGACTTACCTGCAAGTCTGTAGGATCTGCAGAGCCGAAGGATGATTGAATAAAGAGGCAGAGAGTCAATCAGGTCAACTAGCAAGTGTATCAGGCCTTGCACAATCACCACCAGTAAACGGAGCTACAAAGAAACAGTTTAATAAGAAAATCTCTGAGAAACAGGAGATGCAACACTTGCAAATTCATGAGCTGATCTGCAATCTGACATTGTTGTGTGCTAAGCTTAAGTCTCCCAAAGTGGGTTTGATGTCTAGAAATGCTGGGCATCCAGACCCTGTGTGAGGTTCCTTGACAATCTCAGCTTAAGGGTAAAACTGAAATGAAGCCCCTACAGTTGCAGAAGCTGTGACCTGCAAGGACATGACAGCTATTCTGCCTTCCACAGTAATAGTCTAACGAGGAGAATTCACATTTCCATTTCTAGTAAACTCCATCACTGTGTTATCAGTGAATATAAATTTTACTCTCTCCAACAGTGAACTGAAGTAGCTTTCTTCTGCCTGAAGAAACCCCATGTAGAGCATCTAAGCAAGAGCAAAGCAGTTCAGAAATGAGCTTCCTGCTCAGTGTTGTTTTGTCCCCTGATTAAAGCACCTCCTTTTGTCAGACTGCATTTATTTTTGCTGCCAAGCTCATCTGGAAAGAGAGGGCTCAAAAAAGATGCTGAAACCATGTGATGGCCACTGCCTGTGGAAAATTTTGCTTCAAGCAGGCCGCAGAGAGGACTGGTCATATTGGGAGAAGAAAAGAGAAATAAAGAAGTCCAACCCTCTGAGCAAAGCCTGGCTGAAAGCATTTAACACAGCAAGTTAATTTCCTGAAAAAAAAAGTTCTGGATCAAACTAGTGGGGCCATCACCCCAGACACGGGATGGAAAGATAAAAAAAAAGACTTCTGAGTGAAAGAGAAGGGAACAGCTTGTCCCACTGACCAGGATTTGCTGGGAATTCCCTTTGAAGAAACACAAACATGCATCCTGAATTCTACTTGCTTGGCCTACATGGGCTGTGTGAGAATTCTTCCTGGGACACCCAGACAAATTTATATTTTCTTTGTGGATGACACTGAATGACTAGGAAACCTTTTTTAATATCTCAGAAGACAGTACGTGACTAGCTTCAAGGTTTAAACCTTACCAGGGTAAACACCAAATAATACAGTGCAGTTGTAGGCAGGAGGAACAGCAGGATTGTAAATAGCAAAGTGCCAATAAATAACTAGGGAAAAAAAACACAAGCAATTATTAGCAGAGCAACGGCAAAATAATATTTAAAAAACAGGAAACTGTGAGACAATGAAAATTTGCAAGATTCATTAATGTGGTTTTTTACTCCCTATGTAAATAACATAGTTACCTTGAATATTTTCAGTACTTCTCTCACTGGGCCTTTTTAGAAGGCTCCCTATTACAGGAGAACGTTTGGAAAGACAAATAAGTTGGATCCAGACATCATCTTTTCCTCTGTAGACAATACTCGAGATTTCCTATTTCAGGTCAGCTTCCTTAGGAAACAAGACTAGCACGATCATGTCATTTGTCCATTCCATATCCCCTAAGTTTTAGAGCTATTGGTCAGGTTTTACCAGAAAAATGTGGAAGGGTACAAAGAAGCAGAAAATTGGTAGGGAATTTTGCAGAGGAATTAGAAGTATTTTTGTTCTTCCTTGTTTTAGCAGAACAAGCACCTGGTGAAAAGCTGACAAAATCTGGTTGATAAACATTCCCAGCAGCAGCTGGCTGGTCAGTCCAGCCACAGGACTTCTGCCTCTTGCTCAGTGGGAAATGGGGAGAGAGAAATAAGCTGGAGCTACTGGTGGGGGTGGAGCAATATGCAGAGGATGAAGGAGAAAAAAACATAGGAAAGCAGGTGTCATTAGCTCCACTGCCCACAAAAAAGTTATTTTTATTCTAGGTCAGCCCAGCTGGCATAAGTCTAACTAATTCCAACTGGGAGAAATGCAGATTTATGACAAATAGGGATCTGACTCTTCAATTTTCAGTCACCGCTTCCAGAGCAGAGAGGCCACAGGAACACAGGGCACTGCCATTTCTGCAAAAAGAGATCATGGCCGTGGTATATTATGAAAGAAAATAACCCAGACAGCCATGTCACAGAGGTGGAACAACACCCAGCTTTACGCACGTAACCAGAAATAGCTCATAACCCAATCCATTCTCTTCACAGCAGTTGTTTCTCCCCTCCTCTGTAACATCTCCAAAAGTCTTTTAAGGTCTGCTTTGAATGTCTCTTCCCAACCAGGCCAACGATGTAATTCCCACTGGTGTCCAGAGCAGCAGGATGAAGCCTGAAGTGCCAAACCAGCTCTCCTCAAAGTACACTGGGATTGAGCCCTGATGCAAACTGTCTTCCTGCCACGGAAGCTTTTAATCACCAAAGAAACAGAAAAATAGCTCCTTCACTGTGGTGTAAAGAGCACAAGGTTATCTGCTGCAATGGAGAGAGGCGCACTGGCCCTGGAAGTTACCAAATATGACTGTATTATTTTAGTGACATTTGCAACTGCTGGCATGGAGTGGTCCAGGCTCTGCTGAACTTTTGCATGGCCTTTCAGAAATTAAAAAAAGCTTACAACTTTTGACAAAAAAACTGCCCCTGCTGCTTGAGCGAGAATGTGTGGGCCAAGCTCCAGCGCAACGTGAATGAAACGGGGCCTTTTAATAGAAACGCTGTCACGTCTGTTACTGTGGCAACACTGCTGGGCACCACTGTTTAAATTGCCTCCCTCCCCCATACCCACTCCTATGCTTCAGGAGCTGTGAGCATCTGCAGCACCTGCTGCAGTTCACCAGGGTGCCTTGCAGGCGCTCAGCATTTGCCAGAATTAGGCCCCCTGAACCCGCAGAGAAGTGAAGGGGTGCTGCCGGGCGGCAGAGTCCAAGCATTTGGTTGCAAAGCCACGGCTGCAGAGTGCTGGGGCATGCACTTGTTCCGGCCACAACAAAGCCCCCCGCGGCTTCTGTCACAACAGTAGCCAAAGCAGGATAGGATCGCCTTGCTCGTGGGCAGCATCCTGCACAGAGCCCCTGGTGCTGCAGCACTACCTGGTCCAAGTCATAGGAGCAGGAATCCACTCGCTGCCGGAGGACGTTCCACTTCTTCCCACGGAACAAGCGCCAGAGCGATGACAGGCCGTAAATCTTCAGGCAGTAGAGCCTGAGCAAAGAGAAGACGCTGTGCATTAGAGCTGCGAGTTCCCAGAGCTGCAACACAAAACAGCTGTCATCATGACGCCCCTGCGCCCACTCACCGCAGAACTCAGGGCGGCAAAAGAAATCAACCCGGGAATGACGCGGATAAAATACTAATTGCTCAGTCAACCATATTTGGGCTGGCCCCTGGCACAGGCAAAGCAGGCTGCTGCCGACAGCTCTGGGCCACTGAAGGGCAATGACCATGCCATGCCCCAGAGCTGTGGCAAGGCTCTTGGTTTCTGCTCCTGTTGATGAAGAGGCCAGCATATGGGAAGTGGCGAGTGCTGCTGGAGGGTGGCCCCTATGAGCAGCAGCAATCGCCAGCCCCATGCCACCACATTCCCTGCAGCAAAAGAAGCAGCAAGCTTAATCCCCCGAGCTCACCTCTGTCTCTCCAGCTTAGATCTGCCCCGTCCCCCTTGCTTCACACTCCTTTCACAGCAGGAATAGCCAAGGTCTCACCCCTCACACTTCAGTCAATGCAATTCAATTTTGCCTCCACAGCACAGAAGAGACAAGGGAGAGGACTGGAGCCCCTGCACCTTCTTTAGTAAAGCACAGCTTCAAACATTCCCTAAGAGTAGGAAGAGATCAACTAAATGTCTGGTGGCCCCTACTGCATCCTTTCCTTAGGCTTCCATAACTTGGTGTAAAACACTTGGAGCTACTTCCCTCCCAGAAAAATGGCAATGGTGAGAGAAGCCTGGGGTGATAAGAGGTGGGAAAGAGACACCCTAGTGAATAACATCAAGGAAGAAAGAGCCCCTGGGATGGAGAAGAGGCACAAAGAGCCTTGGGCAGCAGTGTCCAACATACAGAGATATAAAGAAAGGGGACACAACCGACCTGCGGGGCAGAACAGAGCCTGAGAAAAACCGAGCTAAAAAAGCCAGCTTAGTTAACCAGCCTAGTTAAGGCATGGAGGCTGCTCAGATTTCAAGGCAGCATTGTGAAAGCAGAGGCAAGGAGTCTTATCCAAGAGAAAAATCTGGTTTGAGGAACACCAACTGCTTCAAGGAATTGGCAGGGTGCCCCCAAACTGGCAGGCACAGCTCGGTGCACTAATCCTTAAGCAGGAGGGTGCCCAGGACAACTCCTCCAGATTGCTGGTACACACCTGCCCTGTGGCTCTGACTAAGGCCACCCACTCCCCCGTGCACCCCGACATGACACCAAGCGGGTGTTCCTGCTCTAGCACCCGTCCCACCTTCCCTGGCTGCCTGCACGCACATGCCCGCTCTCCTTTCACTCTGCGGTTTGTTTCAGAAGGGGGATCTCAGGCTTTACCAGCACCCAAACCAGCAAATTCTTCTGCCAGCTGTAGGAACGCACGGTGTTGTGGTGGCTGTGTTGATGTGGGTGAATGCTATCCCTTCCTGACTCTCCACAGGAGGCACCTGGCACAGCAGGGGCAGTTTGATGCCAGCGGCAAGACAACATATAGCTGCTTTATACTTCAAACAGCCGAGGCGGGTAGGCTGGCTCCCTGCAGCTCGCAAGGGACAAGCAATCAGCTGAGAAAATGCTCTTCCTATTTCCACTCTCTGCACAATTAGGAGGAGCAAGGATATCCTCATGGACCAAAACAGAGATTCCAGTAATTAGAGGTGTTGGGAAGAGACTCCCCACTACTGACATTACTGATTGTGGGTGTAAGCCCCATGCTCACAACTTACCTGATTCATAAATCATACCTCAATATTTCTAACCATTCCCTAAACTGCCCATAACTAAAGTTCCACTATTTTTTCTCTATTTTGCAATGTAAAGCCCCCTGCTCACAGCCTGGGGAGGAATGACGACCACTCTCTATAAGCCAAAAGTTCCTTGTCTCTCATCTCCTTGGCAAGAGCAGCTATTCTCCAGTGGCCTGTGTGGCTCCTTGCTGCTGCATGTGTTAGTGGAGGGCAGGAAGAGAGCACACTGGTGGGCACTGTTTGCACAGTAACCCCAACATGCCCCAAAGCCCCCTGCACTCCCACACACTCTCTCAGAGCCATGGCCCAGCTCTCAGGCCGTGGGGCTCTTCCGTAGGTCCAGACAATGACACCAGGATGGTGTCACAGCTGTGCTGTAACCCCAAACCTGTCATCTGTGCTCCATGATGTAGACAAGAGCCTCTGAAGTAGGGCATGGGGAGGGACTTTGGGGCTTCTCTAGAAATACAAGAGTTCCCCTTTCCTCCTCCTCTCCTCCAGTTCCCCTCAAAATTACTGGGTAGGGTGCAACTGAAAAGAATACTATAAGGTTGAATCAAAGGGATGGGGTGAACTGATTTCTTGTTCTCTGCCTGTCATGTAGTTTTATTTTTCCAGGTCACTACCACAATAAATAAATATTTTAAAAGCAGAACTGAAAGACAGGTTGCCTGTAGTACTGTGGCCTTCATTTCTACATGTATAAAAGATTGCAATAAATTAACTGCTGGCTAAACTGCGAATTCAGGAGAACTACACCAGGATTGAATGCTCCACAAATTAGAGACGTGGCCCTTCTCTCCAAACATACCCAAGACACAGCCAGGAGAGATCACCCACCTGGCTCCGTAGACATAGAAGCAGTAGATGTGGAAGGTCAGAAGGGCAATGATGTCGGAGAGGATGCAGAGAGCCACAGTCAGGCCCAGACAAGCCGACAGACCAACGTACCAGAGGATCATCTCAATGAACGGGGACATCAGGTGAATGTAGCCTAGTGGACATTGCAGGGTGTCAGTATTTGACTGAGACATCTTCCTGTTGACACTCTCAAAAGACTGATTCTCCCCACCCTAGAACATTGCTTCAGAAATCATAGCCATGGAAAAACATGGAAACAAAACTGGAAAACTCCTTAAGATGCCATCTTCTGTTTAGAGGGATAACAAAAACTCTCTTTCCCCCAGGGTTTCTGTCCAGATGTAGTAGCTCTGTGAGGAAGGGAAGCACATGCTTAGCTTTAACAGAGCAGTCACCTTGCTCCACACGCAATTTGCTTTTCTAGATTTGTGTCCAGGTTCCTAATTGCATTTTTAACTGCACACATCAACCTCTTCTGCAATCATTCCCCTTTTCTTGCTATTCCCACAAAAGCCAGCCCATATGGCTTTTGTAAAATAAACCAGTGTGGAGGCATACAGACTCTTTCATCACTAAAGTGAAGCAAAGTCACAGAAACAAGACCATACTTGATTGGTGGATAAAGTAAATCAGTATAATAAAGTAAGGAGTTCACGTCCATCATGACTGTACTCCTTCATCAAGACACTTATCAAGGATAGAAGAGGTCTGTTATTTCAAGAAGGGACTTGAAATAATAAAATTGCACTAGGCTGAAGTCAGTGGTATGACAGGGTTGTCATTTGCATCTTGAGAGCACACTCCTCATCCCCATCCTATCAGCTGCCTCTTCCACGGCAAAGATTACAAAAACCTACGTAAGACCTAAAGCCTGTCCTTGGACACTCACCACTAATGGCACCAAGTAAGCTCCGTCGTGATTTGCACTTCTTGCAAAGCATCAATACAAGCACTTTATTTAATACGCATGACTTCCTTGTGTGGGAGTCCAACTTTGGCTTAAGCTCCCACAGCAGGAAGACTCACAGACGAGTCTGTACTTGCAGTAGTGCATTTTGATTCATTGTTCACCTCTAGGCAAACATTAAACGCTTGGGAGGGAAGAGATAAAAAGGGAGGCTGAAAAGTTAAACAATTGCACTTACTAATCCAAAGATGAATGTGGTAAAGGAAGAAGCGGCCCAAAACCTGATCCAAAGCTCGGTTCATTTTCAGTCCAGCTGGTGCTCCCATTAGCCACTGGAGTAGGTCCTGGAGCTCTTCAGCTACGTGCTACAAACACATGGAAGTAAGGCACCTGAGATAAAACACTGCTACTGCACTGAGCAAGTCCAGCGCACTGTACGCGATGCCCCCTCCCCAGTATTCTTACCACACCCTTCAAACCAATGGGAAAAAAATAAAATTCAAACAACTACTTTCCAGACAACTAGTTAAATCAGAAATGCACCTTTATGGACTCTTTACTGAATCCAAACATAACAGCAGAGAGGAAGCTGATCTACTTAAACAGTCTCAGTGCCGGGCACACAAATCTAGTGTTTGTTTATGGCCACCTCTGGTAGACTCGCACAGTATGATTTCTTGGTGTCATGAGAGTTCTTGAAATAGATGGCAAATGCTGGTGCACAAATTGATTTCTTTGGACAGTCAACTGAAAAGTCACAACTGAGCAAGAAAGCTAACTGTGGGGAAAGCTGTCAGGATTTTAAAATGGGGAAGATGGCAGTGCATCTATGGGCAAAAAATGTTCATTTTTACAAATAAATAACCAGTATGTGTTTACAGCAGGGTAGAAAACACAATTCTATAAATGTATTTTGTACATAAACAAATTTTCTTGATACTGTGTGGTGTACTAGGCAAGCTTAACCATGCCGTATAGCACTGATCTTGCCCACCACTATCGTGTCTCTCTGCAGGCTTCATGGAGAGATACTGATGGCATCCCACTGAAAAAGAAGCCCTCTGAATCACTGAGAAAAAAGCCTAATCAAGCTCGTCCCCAAATCACTGAGGGCTTTGACCCACAGTTTCTGGTGATTTAATCCCAGGCTGATGTTATTTACTGATTTTCTCTCTCCACCCAACTACTCTGTTGGAGGTCCCCCTTGCAGCTGACAGGGCAGACGATGGGGTGGCTCTGCTCCTCAGCAGTTTGCACCCGACCTACTCACCTAAGCTGAAACCAGCAGTGAAGTCCATTTACCAGGCTGTGAACTGAGGCAGCTGAGAGTGGTAACCTCCAGCAAACAGATGGGGAACATACCTGGAAGAAGTGACCTCTCACACTGTCCCGCATGAACAGAGATTGGGAGTAAAAGCCTTCTACCTCTGAAAATCCCACTTACAGTCAAGTCCATGCAAATAAATTCACGGCACATGGTGCACATGTAAAAGAATCAAGACTGTTACCTAAAGCTGATGATGCACTGTAGCCTACTTGCCCCATCATTTCCAAGGAATGATTCCATGTTATTTATTAACCAACAGGATCCTTGCAAAATGAGTTTGTAAACATTTACTTTTAGTATAGTAGCAAAATTAAGGGCTCCAGCTTCAACTTATCCAAAAGGATTGACTTTTTATTTCATTCGTTTTCCCTTTGTCTCACTGCAAGGCAGAACTGATTTGAACCCATGGATTTTTCCTCTGTGGCTGAGATGCGTTAGTTACTTTATAAATAGACTGTTTTTAATATTTAAAGTGTTGGACTGGTAACTTAGAAAAAGCATTTGGGGATTTTAATGAAATATTTAAATGCTTGAAAGCAGTCCTTCAGCAAGGCTGTTTTTCAGCACTAAGTACTTCCCGAGGCTGCCAGTCCCAGAGGTGATACTAAATTCTGACAGGGGCATGTAGCTCTGGGAAGCTGCCCTAGCCTGCCATTATTCAGCTGGGCATAGCATTTCAAAACATAGTTCTAAGGCATAACCTTTCAGGTTGTTTTCCAGCTAGATATTTTAGGACTGATCAATAGCAAGCAGAATCAGAGAAGGTGACTGGGAGTCCAATTCTCCTGTTGCAGTCATGAATACCGAATGTGGCCAGTATTAATAAATAAGATACAGTGAATTGGAAGTGTTTCATAAGGGGTGTAGGGACATTACCAAACCGGAGACTAAAGCTAACATGGTTTAGGAGAGATGACTGTGGAAATACTTTCTTTACTGTCCTGCTCTCCTTTCGAGTCTCCATATGGGTCTCACGGCGATGTGAGACGGATGGAGAAGGAGACAGAGCACGCTGCGGATGGGCACCACGGGCACCGGGAAGAACAGGGCCAGCTTCCCGAGCAGAGCATCTAGTGCAAGTCAGAGCAAGCAGAGCCAAAGCACTCCTCATCAGACACATTTGCCTATCAGTCCTTATCAGACACATCCATTGCAGGCGTTTGGGGCTCTAAGTTATACTATTTTACAAATTAACATCTAAGAATATTTTCCAGGAAGTGTCCTTTCTGCTTGCTTTGTTTATAAATTAGCAGAATGTGACTGAACAGGAACTTACATCCAATTATCTCTAAGCCCCAGTAACATTTTTGGAGGCACGATCTATGATAAATATTTAACAGTTTCAAAGAGATTACAGCTTAAGAAAAAGAGACATCAGCAAAGATGAAAGAGGTGAAGTTAAAAAAAAAAAAAAAAGATGGTTTATAAGTAGTTCTTCTTTTTAAAACAGACAAATGTAGCACTTTGAATTGGGTATTTTTGAAAGAAGGCTGTCTTGTGGAAGGCAAACCCAAGGACAACCATTGGGAAGCATGGTGGGAGCAAGAGGAAGGAGGAGGGTAGGAGTTGTGAGGGCACCTACAGAGAGAATATTATTCACATTTTCCATTCTTGGATTTGAAAGCCTGCTCCAAAAATCAGTCCTTCATATTGCATACTCGCCAGTTACTCCCTAGGTGTCTCTGAATCACATCTGCCTCATTTACTGACAAAAGTAACTTGTTATTACAGTCAGCACTGCGCAACTCATCAAGCTGGGAAAGTGGGAGCTGCAGTCAATGATGTCTTGTGCATCATCAACAATTGCTAGCTAAGTGCTGATTTGAGAACCATTGTATCAGTGGATGACGAACGACGGCTAGAGAACACGGCTCAGTCCACACGTCAGCAGGCTGAGCTTGTGACCCTGGCAGTTGTTGAGAGACAACATAACCTACCTGCATCTGCTCCCTTCCAGAGAGAAGTTTTCTAGGAAAAAAATGAGCACTGTCTCCAGACCCCACACAGCTACAACTTTGTCAATATTAAAATCAATTAATCAAATCAATAAGGTTATAGGCTATATAAGGTTAGTTTGTCAATATTAAAATCAATCAAATTAATAAGGTTAAAATAAGGTTATGTATATAATCTTATAATATATAATAATCTTCTTATAATATATATAATGTTCTATTTACTAACAGATACAGAGATGCAAGGTCAATACCATCATCAGATCTGGGGCACCTATCAAAAGCAGACTAGCAAGGAGCATTAGGGAAAGAAAACTAACTCATTCTGCACATGGGAAAGTTTGCATTACTGAACTTGGCAACACATAAGCACTTGAGAAAGCCCAAGTGATGGGAATAATGCGTACCAGATGGACACTCAGCAGCAAAGAGGAAACCTACTGCTGAATGGCTAAGGGGAGATTTTGCTGTCATACTGGAAAAGAAGCGGTTCTGGCTTGCCCACCACATGCTGAAGTCACTGGTATATTTTGGGATCACTCAGATCTGCATTTTTTAAGGCCTGTACATAATGCATATAAATCAATGCCCACTGAAGGCAGAAAAAGGCTGCCAAATGATTTTATGTCCACAATCTAATATGCTTGAAAGAAGAAAGTAAGGCTGGAAAGTAAGAAGAGTTGCAAGTGGCCTGAACTGATAAGGTTGGAGAAGCAGAGAAGAAAGGCACTGACTGACTATCTGGCCACTCACACAGGGAGGAGTTGTCACTTCCAGGAAAGTAAGTAAACAGCTCTTGGTGATAGCAAGGTAATGAAGTCCACACATGTAGGAGACATGGTGAAAATAACTGAAACTATGATGCGTAAATTGAGTGACAGCTGAGCTAAATTACCAAAAGAGGAACGAATGAACAACTCTCACAAGCAAGCCGACCCAGGACAGGTGCTGGGAGTGGATACACCTTGAGCATGGAGAGCATCCATCTGCCAAAGACACTGGGCAGATGGAACCCCTCCTGGAGCCACCTGTGCAAACAGGAATGCAGCCAAAAGCCACTTCCTTGCAGACTTGTTAAGAAATCAGCTTTCTGAGAGCTGGACACTTCCAGTAATCCCATAGGGAAATCTCTAGAGAACTTAAACTTCTCCAGCTGAAATATCTGTGAGGGAAAATACTTAGGAATAAGACTTGGAAAAATATTTTTAGTATATAGCTCAAATACAAGAGCAAGTGTATTCCAAGAATTGTGGTCCTTTCTACCCCACCACTGCTGCTGAATAGTGTCTGCACCAACCCTTAAAACATGCAATCCTTAAAAGTTTGACTATGAAAGATAACAAAAATAGCAATAATCATGATCCATGGCTATCCTGGACACTCCATACGCACTTTCTGAAAGCACAGCATGTACAAGAACAATCAGAAACCTATAGCTTGTAACAACTAAAAGGTTAGGCACAGACCAAGCAGATCATCATCAAGAGATATGTGAGCTCTTCCCAAGAAAGACAGCATAAGTAGGAAAAATAAATTGCTGCTGGAATTCTCTGATCAGAATAAAATTCCTCCCAAACAAGAAGCTGGTGAAAGAGCAAAGAGAGGACATTCTCCAGCTGCTAGAAAGAAACCAATGGAAAGATCCACCTCCTCTTCCAGAAATGAAAGGAAAGTGGGCAGAGAAAGGATTAGGCTGTGCAGCTGCATGACAGTGCTCAACACTGGCTGCACATGTATTCCCAAGACACAGAAGCTCTTAAAACGGAGCTAACTTCAGATTAGTGGTCTAGTCTCCAGCCTCTGAAGTACATTATATGTTCCTTACTGCCACTAAAGAGATATATTGGAGTACTGTGCCTAAAATGAGCCACCAGAAGAGCAGGATAGTATGAGTCATGCTTGTTCTTCGTGAATTTATGCTGATGCGGAGGGATTGTAGTGGGCAAGAGGAGTTGTGTTTGAGAAAATCACTGGACACAGCAAGTTTTCCTAGTTTACCATCTGTATACCAGAGCTCTTAGGATTTCAGGTGTTTGTATCGTAACTAGCTAATGCCTTTGGATTTTCCCATGAAATTCCTCATCACAAGCACAGCTGCACTGTTTATCAAGTTTGACTTTTCAGCAGTTTACCAGGTTCAGTTCAAGTTACAGATTTTTTTTCCCCCCCAAATGCCCCACACAGACACAACTTGAGGACACTTCTTCTTGACTCCAGAATAAAAGCATTCTGGTTCGGTAGCCACTCAATCTGCAGCTGCAGAGCTCTGCCCGAGCCATAATTGCTACTTTAGGAGCTGAAGCAACCCTCTGGTAAACGTCTAATTACTACTCACTGCACATGCAAAGCAGAGCTGTGTTCCTTTTGAGCAGCCCCAGCAGGCTTGGTTTGAAGATCTCACTGTTCTTGAGGAGACCTAAGACAGGACTCTCTCTGAAATCTTTGTGTGTAAGGCATTGCCTCCTTACAAGTACCCCCAGGCATCGAGAGCTGGTCAGTACCCACAGCAGGTGAAAGAGAAACTGCTTAGGCCAGACTTACATCAGCCACAGGGATAAGAGTGTCAGCAAGGTGACCAATTCGGTTCTTTCTGTACAGCCAGGACACCAGCAGTATCCCCAGAGCCACATCAACCAGCAGAGAGACAAAAATGTTGGCTTTCCTGCATGCAGCATAAAGAGAAACAGTGTTATAGAAAAATGAAGGACAGTGTTTAATGTTTCAATAACAACTGTCGGTTTCACTCACATAGCATCTTTAACATCCCAGGGATACCAGGACAATTTACTGAAAAGGCAAGGTGTAGAGATCTTTTGGTTTTCACTGGTGTGCTGCCACTTCTGTGGCCAAACATGGAGGCACTCAGAGCCTGCCACACCACAAAATCTTTTTTAGTAAGGGGAGCAAAGAGTGGGATTGAAGCTACAAAGAGGAATGTTAGACAAAGTGTATATATATACTCAGGGAGGGACTTACCAATGCTAAGGGCACCAGCACTTGGAGTATCCACGTTCAGATCAGATGGCTTTCCAAGAGGTATACTTTAGTTGAACTCCTAGTCAATGTAATAAATAGTGTTTCTGGGTACATATACCCAGAAGGACTGCTGAACTGCCCCTTCACTGCTAGAGTTTCTGAATGAAATTCCATGACATGGAAATTCAGGAAATTAGATTAAACAACCATAGTTACTTTTGGCCTTCAAATCTGTTAATCTATTTTAAGTGTTCCCTGGGAGTCTATTACTGCAGGATCAGAGAACCACACAGAACAAGACTCGCTGTGTAATGGCCACAGGGCATTCAATATCTGTCTCAGATCTCTGCCTCTCCCTGTTCCACTCACTGTGCTGCATGTTTGCTTTTTCTGTTACACTGACTTTTTTACTGCTGTTGGAATCTCTGGTCTGCAGTTACTGCAAGGAAGATTCCCCAAAAGAGTGGGTAAAAGAGGGGATCATTTAAACCTTTCTGCTCTTAGGAAAAGTACCACTGAATACTGATTGCAGTTTGTGGTTAACAGCAGCATATGTGAAAGCAATGAGCCTGTGGGAGTAGTGATAGCAAAGCACTACACAAATGGGTGCAGTGCAAGCTTTCCGTGGGCAAGATCCTGGTCACCCTTCCCAAGCAAGGGAAAAAAGCACGTATCTAGCAAAAGGCATAATTAATATAAACAGAGTGTGGAGTAAAGATCTGGAAACTAGCAGGGTGTAGAGCAAGCAAGGCAACATGACACGGTGCAGTGAGGACACCGTAGTGCTGTGCAGGCACAGGATTCATGGTTTGGGTTCCCCAGAGGAGACAGCACTCGAGCAAAGGTGTGGATGACTCTGTACTCCATACCTCATTAGCTGAGTCTGGTTTTGAGCCTTCTTGTTGCTGCTGATGACCTGGAGGTGCTGCAGGCGATGTCCCAGCTGCTCACAGGTTGACAGTTTGCTCCATAAGAAAGACAAAGGCCAAAACTTCAGCACCCTGCAGAAACACCATGGGAATGTCCCCTTTTGCTTTTGCCATATAGCAGGCTGTCCAGCATACAAACTCCATGCAAAACATTCAGTGTAAAGTTAAGGTTGTGCTACTGGAAATGGTGTCAACACATTAGCATTAAAGAATATTTGATGTTAACTACTCTCTTAAGGGTTAACAGTATTAAGGCAGCACTTCCAGACTAAGACATCTAAAGCAGACAACCCAACCTCTCATTTCCATTCTGTAAAATGTTTTGCTCTCCCAGGGAAGCCAGAAGGCAACCCTCATTCCACCCTGTGCTTTGGGACACACCGCTGGGATTGCACAGTGCTCTGAGTCTCCAGGAAACTGAAGTCAAGGCAGTTGTGTGTACAGTGCAACAACACAACATGGTGCAACTGCTTCATAAAATCCAATATGACTAACACAAGTCTCTATCTAGTATGAGCTTAGTATAACAAACAGCTGTGTTCTCCCTGCAGTTTCTGTCCCTTTTTTCCCCTCTTTTATTTTTCTTCCACTTGATCCTTTTCTCCTTTTTTTCTTTATGACTTCCAAATTCCTTTCTCAGGGTCTTCATTTCTATCTTCTCTTCACTGCCTTGCCAAGGGTGACCAGCATTATGTAGATAACGCGACATTTAGCATTTAATTAGGTTTACAAAGTTAATATCCACATTAGGCTTGTAGGGGAGGAAATATTCATGCTTTTTTTTTATGACTCAGAAGAAAAGTACTGAATGATGCTCTATTATTTTTGGGAGTTACTTTTATTACCACACAACCTATAAAGAAAGGAACGATGGCAATTTGTGTACTTTAAAATGACGCCACTGGATGCAGGCCAGTCAAAGAACACACAGTAGCGGTACAGCAACACAAAGCACCGTGTCTGTTGTAGGAAATAAATTCTGACGTGGACATAATTTGCATCATTTTTTTCCTGCACAGAAGGGCTGTTTCACTATTTTCACAGTGTTTCACTGTTTCTTATTAAGGATCCAGGAATCCATGCTCACTTTTAGTCACTTCCTTTCACCTACTCTCTCTTACTGCTTTGGCATGTTCCTTCAGTTTACATTAATTCCAAACGCTAAAATTATTCCTGGTATCCTGATTTGCTTTTGAAATTGTACAGCTGTTTGGATCATTAGCGAGCGTGGCCCGGAGGTGTCCCTGCAACTTGTGCATGCCTCCCCCAGATTTCATCTGGAGGAGTTCAGCCTGTTGGCCAGCAGCAGAATGCCTTCAGGACTGGTCAGGATAAAACGCAGGATGGGCAGGCTGGGGCTCCAGCTGCCATTTATACATTTCACACAAATCACAAGGGTATGGCTCGTTCAAATCCTGATCAGTTCACTGTGGTTGCTATCCCCTTCCTCCCCCTCATCCTCCTGAGCCCTTTCAAGCATCCTTTGTGGAAGGTTAGTCAGCTTAATAAACAGAGTGCTGAAGTCCCCCCTTCCTCCTCCCCATTCAAATTTCAGACACACTGGTTTTGAAATACACGCAGTGTACTGTGAATCATGCTTCTTAATTTGAGGCCTCCGAGTTACTCAGCTCTTCATTACAGCCTCCCACCTTAGAGACAAATGAAAGCACTGTTCTTCAGCTGACTTGTCAGGAGGTGATATCTAAAGTGGCGGAGGAAAAAGCACCATGCAGGGGAGGGAGACTTGGGGGGGCGACAGCACCGGCCACTGATCTCAAAGACCTGGGTTCGCAGATTCACCGAGGCACAACTGCAGATGAGTTTTCTCTTCCCATCACATCCTAGCCCAGTGGTTACAAATTCTGGTGTGGCAAACCTTTGCTGGAGCAGAGAATTGCACTTGAAATGCAAATAAAGGGGAAGGAGAAACACTCTACCTGTGTGGTTACGTACAGATGGCTGAAGGTGAAAAATTACCAGTCAAACCAACAGCTGCCAGACCACCTCAGTTCAAGAAAGCAACAGCCCTGGGGCCCTGTGCTAAACACTCACTGGGCTGACAGTCTCCCCATCCTCTCCCAGCAACATGTATCTTACCATTCACTGCTGCACCATAGCTCCCCAAGGTAGAGGCTTGTGTGTCACCCACTGACCAGGCACCCCTGGTGAAAGGAAAGGACAGGCTGCTGCTCTCTTCTGCCTGAGGAATGTCTTGAACGAGTGAGAATGATTTCCAAAGCAGCCAGCAGCAACCCCAACATGGGCACTCACTGCAGCCTGCAATGGGTAGGCACATCTCCTTGGCTGAACTGGATGGGCCCAAAAGACACGGCAGAGGTCTGTGCTTGTCTGTACTATGACTGACTCTCTCTTCTTATCACTGAACATCAAGAGAACAACTTCTATTCCACTTACTTTCTTTGGAAAGTAAATACATACACATACTCATTTAAATAAAAATACAAGCATACTGCAAAAAGCTCAATATAATAGTTGCAGGATGTGCTACAGTAACTTTCATCTCTAGGAGTCCTGAGGAAGAGAGCCAAAAATATTTCTTGCGTGGTCTCCTACCCCTGAGCATATCGACTATGCATTGCTATAAATGCTCCCACTTGTTTTCACATTATATAGAATAGTTTTCAGAAGTATAATGGAAAACCAACCAAATAAAAAAAAACCAAAACAAACAAACAAAAAAAAACCAACCAACCAAACAAACAAAAACCAAACAAAAAACCCAGTGACATATCACTGCATTACTGAAGCAGCAGGAGATCTTTGGGATATTTCCAAAAATAAGGAATTTTAGCAATAAATTAACATAGTCAGCATAAGCATTTCTTCGTTTTACAATTCAATTTTTTTTCCCGGAATGAGAGTGGATTTTTCAGATATCAGATGAAAAGCAATCTTTCCAAATCTGGATCACATGCAAATATTAAAGCTCCATTAACCAGAACCCCTGGCTGTCTTTTTGCTCCTTGCTAGAAACTGCAGAAACAGTGTCTCCCTTCTGGATGAGGAATCAGAGGTCATGCTGTTTGTGAACAGACTTTTTCAAAAAGGAGCACACAGAATTTATTGCCTCAATACTAAATCATCCCGATGTCCCCAGCAGCACACTAGAGACCTTCACCGGTAATGGGAATCCTCCACACAAGTCCTTCTGAAAAGAGAGTTGCAATGTCCACCCCTTAGCACGAGGTGGTGCTGAAGAAATGCCTTAATCTGAGATGTACAGGGCTCCATTGCGCTGGGTAAGCTTGCACGGATGCCAGCGCCCACTTTCTGAGATTTCTAACCCTGCTGCCCGGCTTCCCCAGCGCAAATACACGACTGTGGCATATCCAAAAACGCCCCAAACCTCCACAGCCCGACAAGACATCACTGATCTCTTTCTTTAGGTTTTCAAAGCTGATTATCCCTTAATATCACAAAAACCTGGGAAAGAAAGAAAGACGTCCTGTGACCAGAAGGAGAGAAGATCAGGTAGATCTTATTTTATGGCATGTCCTGTCCCAGCACAGGGAGGAAGGGACTGGAAGGATGCCTGCATGTGACATCTTGAACCCTCCCTGCCTTGTGCATGTTGGCACAAAGGAGGTTGTACCACACATCACGTGCTAAATTGAACCACATTACATTAAATGATTTAGGAGGTCAAGTGGGAAGTTTGTTATAGAGCTGGTACTAATCTCTGTTGTCCATGACTGGTATTTTAACACACCTGTAAGGTAAGTAAATATAATGCTGATACTGTGGGTGAATAAAACAAAGCAGAAGGAACGCTGTGTCTACCTTCCAAGGTTAAGATCAAGTTCAACCTAGGTTTATGCACAGCAAACCTTCCATTTTGCCTGCTGGCACGTACAACTGGCTGCTGCTCTGGCTCAAAGCATGCATACTGGGTTTAGGAAAAGCTGAAATCAGAATAGTTCTGGATAAGCTGGGTAGCATCTACCTGTGCCCAACCTGCCAGACTGAGCTCAAGCTCAGTTATGCTTAGCCTGTGGCCTTCTGGAGACCTGCAAGGCTTGGGCTTAACTTGACTTTAAGCCTGGTCTGAGTCCTAGCACCGATCAAGGTAGGCAAGTCTGACCTTAAGACCAAGTGCATACACATAAAAGGATCATCCTGTTTGTTGGTAGTCACACACAGTCCACTGACAGACAGAAAAAGGACTTTCAGAGCTGACTCCCAATCTTCTACCCGAACATAATGTTCTGACTTAGTTACCACTAACAAGCATTAATGCATAGTTGGTGTCTACCAGGAACCAGTGGTCCCCGACTATATCAGGTTTGGGTTTGACCCTTAACCTCTTCGAATCGAGTAATCCAAAACCAGACAGTTTTCCCTTTGTGTACTAAAATGTGTAACCCAACTGCTCAGAAAAACCTTGCATAAGAGTTTCACTGTAATTTTTTTATTACAGTATCATACATCTGGAAACTTGCTAGAAGACTCTGTTCCCCATACCCTTAGGCTGTACTTGAGAAGACTTATCCATGAATACAGTAGTAGCTGTTATCCAAATTTCATCAATTAAAGTGTCCCCTTGCAGCTTGGAACCTGAACTCCACTCCCCTCTCTGGTACAACCTCTCTAGGCACTGACCAGATGTGTTACTAAGCTTTGTACACAGAAGCTTCTCCCCTTCAAATGCACACAGAATTCCTCTCTGGTACAGAATTCCTCTTTAGAATTCCTCTTTCCTCAAGTACTTGCCACGCATTACATTTGAAGCATCCTATTCAGTTTCATGATTGTGACAACAGGATTGCACCAAGGATTCTCACAGACTAGCATTCCCCGTAATGTGTTATGAGGTGCCAAGGTTGCAGCACCACTGTCTGACAATGTATTTAGACACACTCTTTGCTGATCTTTCACAGTTGTGGAAGGATTCATAGCAAAGAGGGAGTAGGGAGTCCCAGCTATCGAGCCATTAAGGAGATACTCATGTCATTCTGTCAGCCATGGAATAGCTGGAAACCCAGTGGGGCTGAGCTACCCCTGATACAAACTGGGAGGGGATCAGTGCCTCCCCAGAAAACCTCCCACCTCCTTGAAGAGTTCTACCATATTTGAGGGAGCCTTTAGCCTTGTGTTTTCAATGGAGCTCCCTGAACTTTAATAGCAGCTCTGCAGCAACTCGTTTCCAACAGAATGATTTTGTATCGACTGTATTTCTCACTGGGGTTGAGCAGGAACCCTGAAAACGCCTAAACACGAATTACATTTCCATGCGAAACATAAGCTGGCTGATGTCACATCACTTACCGGCTCCTGCAGATCCCAGAGATAAGTGAAAGCAGGAATGTCAGCAACATGCACACAGGCACAGAGGCCTGCTTCATCAGCTCCACGATTATACTAGCTTCGACACCATCCGACTGCCAGTGGGTCAACTTGATGGGACCATCATCGTATCTGTCCGTCATGAACAGTATCTTACTCTTTGCAACTGTGTCAAAAATGGCAGCAAGCTTTGAAGCATCCTCTGCCTTGTGGTCAGTGGAGGCAGCTGTGTCCAAAGGGGGATGTAAATGGGAAAGCAGGACTTTGCGCTGGTCATAGTACACTAGGATGATTTCTTCCTCCTTAGGGCTGTTAGAGTGTTTCTGAAGGGTAGAACAGCTCCAGAATTTGTTGTCTCTCTCTTTGCTTATCTGAATCCATGGCTCATGGGAGAATATTGTCCCAAGGTCTTCCAAGAACTCACTCAGACTCTGTTCTTTCTCCTTTTTGCTGTTGCTCCATGAGCCGAGCACAGAAACACTGACTTTAGTCACTCGCTGGACTTCACTGAGGTACTGCTTCACCTGGACAGGAATAAAAGGGAAATGGACCACGGCAAGGATAACAGCAGAGTTCTGTTCAGAGATCCAGCGGCCGATCAAAATGCCACTTTCTGCCGAAGAGCAGCACGATGGAAAGAAGACCTTAAGCACCATGGCAGCAATCCTGGATGAATGGTACACCTGCCAATAAACAGACAAATAAAACTTGAGAATGCAAGGAAAATTTGAGCTGACTAAAATCACTGGTGAGGAGGCCCAGTCAAGTTTTAAAACACTAAGCCCAACCATTCACCTCTGCACTGAAACTAGATAATGACGTTAGTGACAGCCAACAGGGATTTAGAAGGTTCCTGACAAGCTGCAGCCTTTCAAGTGAGGGGCGTCAAGCCTAGAGTTTCTCAGCAAAGCCCTTTTCCCAGTCTTGGAGCAGTGTTTCACAACGGTACGCTGAGAGGCACAGCCTGTCAGACCGGCCAAGGTCAGGAATCCATCCAGCCTCAGATCTTGGATCTGACACCAGATGCATTCGAGCACTTCCTAGAGAAGGGACTACATCGTGGCACACTGTGATGCCTCTGGGGAATATTTCCTCCTATTACCGACAATCAAATATTGGTTTATGCTATAAAGCCATACAATTTTAGAGCCTCCTTCATCACCTAAGAACCCACAGCTGTGCTCTGCAACAACCTCACTGAACAACCTTGGTCAAGCCGCTCACCTCTTCTTGTCTCGCTCCCCTCATCTGGAAACAGATGATAATTTTGTCAAAAGGCACTATAGTGATTAACCATTTGAAGTTTATGTAGTAATTTTAATTCATTAGATACAAGATCCAAAAAATGGAGAAGCATCTCTGCTTTATCAGTGTTCTTTACCTACAATATTTTTCTTCACGTCATTGAGAAAACATCTCAACAGCTTTCTAAGACTTACAAAAAGGAGCTTTGAGGCAGTTGACAATGTCTCTTTAAATAAGGTGGAGGTTTCTAACAGAAATATAATTGCAGTAAGGAGGGCGCTGGCGCAGAACAGTCGGCATCCGGCACCCGTTGTCCTTTCTCGTCCTTCAGCGCTTTGTTAGAGATGTGAAAACTCCACAGGCCCCCGAGGCTGGCTCCTCTGCGAGGGACCCAGTCAGTCGGAAAGAGCAACACAGAGGGTATTTATAACATCTAGAGAGGACGTGCAACATGGAGGTCCCTGGTGGGTTTGGTTTTCTCTCTTTTTAATAAATTGATCTAGTTATTCTCATCATTTGGCAATTTGATACACCATGGAGGAGGCAGTGGGCAAGCAGCAAAGGCAAGTGATTAACCTACTCCCAGCCCCACAGCCCTGCCAAGTGCAGCAGTAGGACATGTCTGCTCACGGATGAGTTGTCAGCTCCTCAAGGGAGCAAGCTGAAGTTTCCTTGGTGCACGTTTCACTCCTCCGATGGGAAAAACACCACAGTTGCAGTATTTGCAAGGAGTAATGATTTTTTTCCCTGGGACTGAATTTTCCCTTTTACTGCAAAACTGCAAAGCATGCCCCAAGACTTCCCCTCAAACAGGTGTAAGGGTGCTCGTGAGGGATTTTGTTCGCAGCATGCTGCTGGCAGCAGTGTTTGCAGGTGCTGAGGGCACTGAGCACCATCCCTTGCTGCCCCACAGACCCTCCAGCCCACGGTGAGACTTGGAGGCCACAGAGAGACTTCCATCTCTCCCTCTCTGACCAGAGGGATAACCTCAGATGTGGAGTCTGTGAGGAAGCAGGACCTCAGAAGAACCTCCAATAAAATATGTTTTTCATAGAATTGCAAGCCTTCAGAAGCGGAAGGGAAGCAGAAAGATATATCACAGGAAGTGTAGAAAAATGGCAGACGTGACACCCTGAGACTATAAGGGTGCAGGACATCAGGAGTAGGAAGGACTGAAGACTTGCAGTAGAACTGAAAAAGGTCATCTTTCACCAGACAAGTCATTAGACTCAAATGGACTGAAAAACAATACATGACATCCAAGCTTGTTTTTCACTTCTGTTGAAATAGCTAAGACTCAGGTGTTTTGTGTTTTGTTTTGTTTTGTTTTTTCCTGGAAGACCATGAAAACACTGAAGAACACATATCCTATCTAAAAGAGTTGATCCTGACACGCATAGGAAACTTTGGTGAAAATCAGCTAACAGACACAATTAATTAGATTGGTCCTTAACCAAATTTCAAATAAAACCTGTCCCCTACATTTTGTTCTTCTTTCTTTTAGAAGGACTGTGGTTTGTCCAAGGGTACTGGCCAAAATAGTCTTCCTTTCACCACCTCTCATACTCCCTTGCCTAACTCAGATTATTAAAGAAACATTATCAGGTGAGATGAGATTTGCTTCATGATTTAGCTTTAGGTTTGAAAAAGGATTTTCATTCTTTTTCTCCAAGACCCACAGACATATTCCCAGGAAAAATTAAATAAATTATACACATACAGGGGCTCTGAAAGGAAAAATAACAGATTGAACATGTCAGGAATGCACATACACACATATGTTCAGAAATTATTTAAAATAATATAGATTTAGCTAGAGTGATAACATTCTAGCTATATTACCAGTACCAAAACTTTACAAGTGACATTTACCAATAACTGGATACTCTAAAAACTTAAATTGAGCTGGATATTTTAAAGAACACAGAGAAAAATGAAGAAAATAAGCACTTGAACGAGGTTTTTCAGTATTTCTATTTTAATTACCAATGCTATCACCAGCAATATTGGGCAGATAACTTTTCGAAGTTGATTTTTTATTCTTCTTTTTCCTCAAGAGATGTCATAGTTGTTTGAGAGTATCGTGACAAGAGACTTCCAGCGTCTCTGCATGGCTGTCCTTCTTAAAGGTGTGTCCATCCACTGGACATTTCAGAGAAGCACTATCAACAGACTCTTAATTCAAACATTGATTTTTCACTGAGATTTTTTTTAAAGACAGCCACGGTCATCTGGGAAAACACATGGAAGAGAAACACTTCTCATCCTTATCTTCTCTAGTTTGTGAGATTTTCCTCTTACACCTTCCCCAACCTTTTAACTTAGCTTAGTTTTAGGCAGCTATAGTTCAGGTTAAATAATATCTAAGAAGATCATCTGTCCGTTGGCTGCTGCAGATATGGCAGAGAAGACTCTCATACAATTTTTAGGATGTACAAAATATCTCTCCGGACACCCAGCAGTTGAAAACCAGCTGATCAGCTACTCATTTGTTAATGTGGCATACAGCAGTAACCAGGGAACAGGCCTGGGAGCTCAGGCTGCAGAGCTGGTATTCCCAAATCCATGACTGGTTGTACATCTTACTCCACTCGTTTCAACAGACTGTTTGAAATCTAAAGTTGACATTTTAAATGTCAACACAGTCAACTGTTTTTGCTGCTAATTTTAACAGAAATATCCTTTGCTTAGACCCTGCTCATAAAGTGTCTAAAGTCTTCTGGATCTGCCTATTTCTGCTGGAAACCCCCAGCCTTCCCCTGAGATGCCACAGATCATCAACACAACAATCTCAGGCACAGCCAAACCAACAACGGACACTGCCTAAAATGCATCACGCAACCAACAAACGAAGAAAGCACCCCAGGAGGGAGTAACCTCAGCATTTTAGATAGAAAAGCAAAGGTGACGAGCAGGACGCGGCCCCAGCCCCACCACAGAGGCTGCCCTGTCACCACCAGCCATGCCAGGGGGTTCCAACCCACGCCACGCCCGAGCATCCCAAGGGCTTTCCACGGGGTTTAGGGCCACCAGGAGACACAGAAAGCTCTGACGAGCTGGCCACGGCTGTCGCAGGGGAGCGGGAGCAGGGCTGACTCCCTGCAAGGCTCATCAACTTCTTGCTCATCCAGAATTTCGCGGTTTCTGAAGGTGACCTGAGGGCACAGGTGGGCTCCCCGACACCCCTCGCTCGAGTCTAAGGCAGATTTCACCACCGTCCCCCGGCTGCCCCTACAACGCCTACGGGACCCAGCCCAGGCTGCCGCGGGCTGAAGCAGCCGGTACGGGCTGACGCCCCCGGCCCGGCCTCGGCGGGGGGGAGCCCCGGGGCCGCTGAGGGCCGGGAGGGCCCCCGCAGCCGGGCAGGCCTGCGCGCCGCGCTCCCCCCCGCGCCGCCCCGGCCTTGCCTACCGCCCGCTCCGCCGCGCCGCCCGCTTCCGGGGGCCGGGTGCTGGGAGAAGCCGCTGCGCACCGCGGCCGACCCGGCCGCTGCCGGCAACCGGCCTCCCACGTTCCGCCCGCGCCGCGCCACGACCCGGTGCCGGGGCGGCTCAGCCGCCCTCCTCTCTTCCCTTTCCCCGCTGTTTTTTATGGCCGCCTCGCCCAGCAGCGTGGAGGCGGCCCCGTGCCGCCGCGGCGGGGCTCTGCCCCGGCTTACCCGGCAGCGCTGCTCGCCGGAGGCTCCCCACAACGCTCTCCCGCGGGGCGCGGAGCGGGGCCCCTGCTCAGCCGGCGATAAGGCTCGCCCGGCCCTCAGATGTGCCATCACCGGGCCGGGGGCAGGGCCAGGGACTCGACTTTCCTCACGGGACCCCCTTGTCCCCCATCCCCAAAATCCAGGGACTCGCCTTTCCTTGTGGGACCCCGTTATTTCCCATCCCCAAAGTCCAGGGACTCGCCTTTCCTCGTGGGACCCCGTTATTTCCCATCCCCAAAGTCCAGGGACTCGCCTTTTCTTGTGGGACCCCATTGTCCTCCATCCCCAAAGTCCAGGGACTCGCCTTTCCTTGTGGGACCCCGTTATTTCCCATCCCCAAAGTTCAGGGACTCGCCTTTCCTTGTGGGACCCCATTGTCCTCCATCCCCAAAGTTCAGGGACTCGCCTTTCCTCACAGGACCCCGTTCTCCTCCATCCCCGCCGCCTCCGCAGCCCTCGGCCTGGCAGAGACCCCCGGGTGCAGATGCCAGCGCCGGGAGCTTCTCTCCTGTGACCTGGCAGTGGGTCGGGGCCGCGAGGGTACCACAAGCTCTGGAGGACGCTGGGCAACTTGAGGGGGTCCCGCATGGAAAACTGAGAGCAAGTCTGGAGGTGGGGAATGCAGACCACACAGGGGTGGGCTAGAGAAAAAGTTTGTTTGTTTGGTTTTTTTTTGTTGGGTGCCACAGGATTGGAAATAAGGTGAGGGAAGATTGGTTTTCTGGGAGCTCAGGTGAAGGGAGGGGATGGGACAGGCTTGTCACTGTTCTTGCAGACGACACAGGCTCCTTCCCAGCTGCTGGGCTCGCTCCAGGGGCTGCCTCGCTCTGCAGGGAGAGCAGGTCTGGGAGGGCACCACAGGGTGTCCATCGACATTTGCACTTGTTTCAGGGCCAGGAAGGAGAAAGGGTCTTCTCTGGGGTTTGTCTGGGGTGAGAGGTGGTGACTGGACTCAGGTCTTGCATATCAGCAGAGGCTGAGGACTCATGCAGCACCATGCTGGTGTCAGGGGCTGGAGGGGGGAGAGGAAAACGCCCTTCCTTCTGCCACCACACCCTGCTCGCCTTCCCCTGGCCTCTGCTGATAAAGGCAGTGGCTGTGCCCACCTGAGCCCTCCTCTCCGGGGGGAGAACAGGACGGCAGGGCAGGCTCAGCCCCAGGACCGTGGTTGGTGTGAGCAATCCTACATGCCCATATACAATTTACTCCATGCAGTAGTTGTTGCTTCCCTGTAGAGGTCAGGAATGCAGCACAGAATGAGTTACCTTCATTTTACCACTCTCCTGAAGTCTGCTGCAAACCCAGAGTGCAGGATAGACCATGACTGCCAGCTCTGGCCTGGCCTTACCCCTCCAGTCATGCTCTGGCATCAGGAAAGTGGAACCATGGCCACATAAAAACAGTGTGCGGGGAAGAGAAATATTTATATTATCTTTACAAAAGCACACAAGGATTCGAGGGCCTGGTGATAACAGGTTTGCCAAGGCACCAATGCGTGGCCAATTCTGAGCAATTCAGTCCTCCTTTAGCTACTCTGGTGGATCCAAGAGACTCAGAGCTGGTCTAGTCCTTGCTTCTGCCATCTGGAGAAGCTGGAGGGCAATAAGGCAGTCAAGTATGGGGACAATGGCCAGCTATGGGAGCAGTGGAGCTCACAGCCCACCAGCAGACCCAAAGCTCAGCGGGGTTGCAGTGGAACCAACTCCATTCCCCCCCTGGGAGTTAGGCTGGGGTGACCCCATGCTGCCCCAGGGTTGGCAGGGCTGTAAGGGGGCCTCACGCAGTACTTAAAGACTTTGACACAGTTGTCCCCTGCATCTGCCACAAAGAGGTGCCCGAAGGAGGAGCAAGCCACGCTGGTGGGCCTCCGCAGCCCTGTGGACACCAGGCAGATGGGAGCCCCGTGCTCTGGGAATAAGTGGACGGTACGGCGCTGCTCATCTGCCACCAGGATGCTGCCATCCACATCAATGCAGACCCCAGCTGGGTTGCCAAACTGATGTCCGTGTTTGCTGCTGAGGGAGCAGAGGAGCTTACGGCTGCTCATGAAGACCTTGACGTCTCCGCACTCCTCACTTACCACAAAGCCTCCGTTGGGCGCTGGACTGACATAGCGAGGTCCCTGCAGGTTGGGGACTGAGTGGATATTGAGTGTCTTGAAGGCATGGTCCAGAGCAAAGCTGTGGACTTGGCCTTGTGCGTAGTCTGCTACCAAGATCTTGCCCATGGAGTCTACTCCAATACCCCTGGGGGAACCAACCTTTCTGATCTTTATCCATTCCCCCTTGGAGAGGCTGGTGTGAGGGTTGAAGACCCAGATGGCTCCATTCATCATGTCGGCTACAGCCACCATTCCCATCCGAGTCACAGTCACATCTTCTGGCAAGAAAGTGGTGCGTTCCATCCCCGTTTGCTGGCAGGGCAGGGAACGCAGCGTTTGGCCTGTGCTGCTGAGGACGTGGACCCAGGGAGCACTCTCAGCTGTCACATAGATGGAGCCATCCAGGGAGCAATGGAGTCCACTTACTACCCCATAGCGGCTGCCGGTGGGGTTGGGGATCCGCCGGACCAGGTTGTCCTGACGATAGTGAAGGAGGTTCTTAATGTTGTCCAGATCTCTGCACAGGCTTTTGGCCTTATCTGCCAGCTGGTGGACTTGGTGCTGCGTCACCATGCCCATGCCACGCTGGCTGCTCAGCAGCGGGCTGGCTGTCTGGAGCGTGGCGATTGACTTCAGCTGGAGGGTGTAGATGGTTTTCAGAAGCTTCTCCTTTTGCTGACTGGTCTCCAGAGTGTAGTCCATGACAAATCTCTCGTCCCTGTTTGGGGGAAGCAGTAGAACCATTACTGTTCCTGACTGCTGCCATCTCTGGGGACAGGCTCTGAGCTCAGTTGCTTGCTGTCTACCTAAGGTCAAGGTGTTGGTGCTAGTCTGGATTCACTCTGATGCAACAGAGACCAGATCATAGCCCTGCCAGCTAATTACATGCTCAGGATATAAAGACAAACAGGTACTACGGCACAAAAAGAGTCAGTGAGCTGGATCTGAAGCTAGAGGAACCAGCCAAAATGGTCCATTGGCTTCAACAACAGCTTGGCTGGTGCCAGATCTGGCCTGAGGATTTATGTGTAAAGGAGAGCCCAGTGTGTGAACACACTGAATGGGATCTCCAGTTCCTGAGATTAGTGGCTTCTCTCAGGCCTTTAACACCTCTCAAGGCTCTTTGCTGTAAGCCTCATCTCTCCAAACCATGCTTAGTCCATGCTAACACTAGAGACACTGAGGATGGCTATTCCTCCACCCACACGTGGGTCAGATGTCACACTTGACCAGCGCGTGTCTTTGGTAAGGGCAGCCCCCTCCCCATCCAAATAAGTTCTTCTTGAAACAGCCAACAGCTTGTCAGGAAGAAGAAAGGAGGTACTTCTCTGAAGGACACGTTCAACCTACACGGTTTTTTCAGATGCAAGAGGCACCATGAAAACCACAATTTCTCTTTTACCCACTCTCCCTCTCTCTTAAAACCATAAGGAATGAGTCCCCCAAAAGACAGAGATGACAGTCCAGCTTTGCTATATGCTCTCCAGGGCCTGGCTGGAGCACAGCTCATAGAACACTGCCAGGAGCTGGCAAGAGAAATGTTAAGAGAAATGTGGCCTCATTGAAGTTCCTGGAGAGGCGGAACTTTGCTTTAAATGCAATTATAATTGATATTATAATGGACACACTTGGCTGTTCTGAGTTGTTTGAGAGCCACCACTCCACCTTTATCACCCCGTGGCCCATGATTGCCTGGTATGATGTGTTCCATACTGCCTGCAAAAGCAATGCTTCCCCAAACCACAGCTGAAGGAAGCTGTGCTAAGTTAAGGCATACTGGGTGCAGATTGTCCCTCCCGTGTGCAAATACTGCAATAATCTAAAAATCATCCCCTGAATATTTGCAGAGCTATCAAATGCAAACACGTGATGGTGGGGATGAGTGTGAATACAGAGAAAATCCAGTTTCTGCTGGCTTTAGGGCCTGGGAACAGCTTTGCCACCTTCTTCCCCAAAGTGGTTGTGCTTTGTGTCTCCAGCAGCAGAGACCTGCTCGGTGGAAGCAAGCCCTCCACCGTGCCCCCATGACTGCTTGTCAGGGTCCTCCTTCAGAGCCAGACAAAGTTCAGAATCCAAGAAACTGGATTTTATGGATGGGGAAACTGAGTCACCACCGCGGAGCCGATGTGCCAGCTGCCACACACCCAGCACCAGGAGTGTCCACCTCACCTCCCACAGCTGCCATCAGACCCTTGATGGTGCGTCCTGAGCCAAGCCTGAGCTGCTCATTCATGGGTCTAAGCCCAGAAGGAGGGTCCCGACACTGTCCCCAGCACAGCTCAGGCCAACGACCACAGGCGTGACCAGGAGCGCAGCTCAGCAGATCCCGTACCTCTGTCCTGACGTCCTGGGGGCTGCCTGTCCTTCCCTGGCAGCGCTGCCCTCACACCAGCTCCATCCTGCTCCCTCGCCGGGCTCAGGGCAGCGGGGCCGAGGGATATTGTGTTGTTAGTGACGGGCAATTGCCCTTGAGTCTGGGTAAACACAAAAGCTCCTTGTGCTGACAACCAGAAGCAGCAAGACAAGGGCTGATATGCGCGGGTTTTATTCCCTGCTGGTCTCATGCCCAGAGAGAAGGTGCCTTTCCTCCAGGGTCAGTCTATGTCCCATCTACCTGCTCCTGCCAGAGAGAGGGGAAGCCCCAAGGTGCCCAGGTGCAGGAATGATTTGGGGCTTTTTATGTAGAGGCAAAGTGGCTGATTTGCTGCACCTCACCCTTAGTGTGAGACGCAGCTGCTGGAGTGGGACTGGGACACTCTCACACCTTGAATTAGGGCTCCTGCCTTGTCTCACTGCTTCTTTGCTGCCTCCCCATGTGCCCCCAGACTG